TATAAGGTTTGGTACTTCCACTTAAATAATATCGATGTAAAATCCACATTGACTTAAAAATTTCCAGTTAGTTTACTGAAAGCTTGGTCAACACTGTGCTTGGGAGGATCTATAAATAGGATACAATCATGCAACTTAAGACTGGATTTTGGAATGTGAAACACAGTTATGTCACCAAGCACAGGTCATTGTCCTTTACCTCCCAGCAAGAATGCAGCTATCAAGAACATTTCACACTCAGATCAACTGTGCATTTAAGCATCACTTGCTTTCAACACCCACTGAATAAAAATAGAAGAGGATAACAGAGAAAGCTGGCTAAAAAAGCGTATAGTAATTTAATAATGTATTTTTAAGCTGCTGGCCCTTCCCGTGTATTGTCTGCTTCCTGCATAATCTAAGTCAATTCAAATTCCAGCACTTTCAACAACAGAATATAATCCATGGAGTCCATTCAAGACTTTCAAAAGGGGAGGGCAAAACAGAAGCTTACCCTCAATTAAAGATGGCAAGGAAGAATGCTGCCTATCTGAATCCCAGCACAATGTTTGTCTTAACCCCCCTACCTTAGAAAGACATTTTTATCACCTTTCTATTAAGAGGTATTTCAGTCACTTAACCTCTTTGCCTCAAGTTTCAGCATCTGTATAAAACAGGAGCTTGTTATCTCATGGAAGTACTGTCAGGATGGTTGAAAGTATGATAGTAGTGTCTGCTCTGAAGATGAACTTATCTATGCCTTCATTAACTTTTCCTCTCAATATTTTTATCCTCAAAATATATGGAAAGCAAATTCTAATCACACAGAACTGTCTACCAGCAGGGATACACCTGGTTTTCATAAGGATGATATTATGCCCTTTCAGGTCTTTGGTTTTGCTCATCTGATTAAATGAGAATTTTATCCTTATGAATACAGATTTTCAAAAATGATCAGAAAACAGAACTGAACTGCATATGGAATTAAGAAGTCTGACTCCTAAGTATACTTGGAGGTGAATTAACACAAAAAAATGTCATTCACTGAAACCATTTCCTGTATTGTCACAACAGATGTCAGCAACAGATTTGAGGACTTCAGTGGGCTCTGAATCAGGATAAATGTCATCTGGAATCCATGAGACAACAACTGAAATGTTACAACTAAGCTTTGTATTTACTTCACACCTTTATGCCTACAGTCTCAAAGTGATAATGACTTCTGAACACAGAGTTGGAGGATTAACTGAGGGCTTTTCTTGGTTCTGTGCTTGGCACCTTTTATTTAGACCATGATCTGAATTTAAGCTCACAACAAACAATACATTAAAAACTTATGAAGCAAACAATGCAGTCTTTAAATTGATTAATACTTACTCTAAACTTTATGTAGGAGGATTAATCTTGGATGAGATCTGATTGATACAGGGAAAAAATTAATCTCTCAAGATGTAACCTTTCCCTCTGACACTCTGAAAAAGGTCAGTAGAAGCTGTTTAATACCACTTTCATCTTTTTTTTTCTTTTTTTAACTCCTCTCATGTTTTGATTAGCATGAATTTGGGCATTGAAAGGAAACTCACAGCAGCATCGCTTGTTTAAAAACTGTAATATCCATAAATCTACATTCTGAAAAAAATGTTTCTTGTACAGTTTAAATTACATAGATCTGTGGAAAATAGAGAGACATGAATCTATTTCCCATATGCCATTCCAGTTCTGGCAAAAGTCAGAATTATAAATTATAAAATTTGGAATAATGAACCATAAGTTTTTCAAACACGCATAGACTCCCACAGCTTGCAGTTATGTTACAGAAATGGGCACTACTGTGCAGATCCATCAAAAGTCATTTGGGAAACTGATTAATTCATTCATCCAGGGGCAGTTCTCTATTTGGTAGAGACTTCCAATAGAAGTTAGCTTCATATGGGTTTACCACATAACATATGCATCCTAATGGACCTTATGAGAATATCCTACTAGATTCCAGCAACATGCATTAAGACAAACCCTACCTAATGAATTTTTTTAGTGTTAACAAACCTAAGGAAAACAAAACAAAACCAAACAAAACTCACTGCAGCTCATGACTGTATCCATGCCATAAGGTATATGTGTTGCAAACAACACAGTCCCGGCTCCTTGTGCACAATCTGCTTGTTTTTGTGCTTCATCTTGAGACAGCGTTACAGTGAGCATCATTCATTCACTTGTTCAAAACTCCTCTGATTCTTCCAGTTTTTTTGAAAATGGTGACTTAATTGCAATTCTGGTTCCCTGAAAACACTGCAATTTCTATGGCTGTCCCAAAAATACTGCACATGCACCAAGAATAAGTAAGCACTTTTACCAACTGCTCATCAGTGCTGTCTACATTTTGACAGATTTCATTTTAGTCCAGTAAGCTAAGCCCCCTAGAAAGACCCACTAAAATTTAGAACATAGAGGCTGCTGCACAGAGTTCAACTCCAACTCCATGTTTTGAACTTTATTTAACAAATCTAATGAAATGAATGCGGCACCATAACACGATATATCAGAAACACCCTTCAAGAAAGCTGCATTGAGAAGACCAGATTGCTCTGACACGTAAGGCTGTTTTAGGAGACTCTTTCAGAAGCAGCAGGGGAAGGAACTGAGGCAGCTGTCTGCAGGACATGCTCAGCCAAGGAATGCAGAAGGAAGCTGAACTAGGTGAGCATGGCTGAAGTACTGCAGCCTGGGATGGTGAAAAGGAGTCTTCAGTTTTGTTTTATGCCATTTTCTGAGAGCTGTTACCGTAAATGCCAATCACATACTCCAGGAAGAACATAGATCAAATCCTCCACACTGTAACACTGACTTAAAAAGGCTTCAGAAAGTGATCTAGTTCATTACCCTTCTTCAAAGAGATGCTACGTACCACCTCACATCTACAGCTCATGACCAACCATCTAACCCATTTTTCAGTACCTCCAAAAAGACGACTCTACAGTCTTGCTAGGCAGGAAGTTTTACCAATTTTACCAACCTTTTCATGCCTAGTTTTGTCCTGCCCACTGGAAGATTTGGAAAACAAGATTGCTCTCACACCGCAGTCATCTATCATTTGACCATTCTTTTCATATGTACAACATATGGCAGTATGTTTTATCTTCCCCTACTAAGTATGAACAAAGCATTCCAAAGCAGATTTGCTGTATCAAAGTTATTTTCAAATTGTGCTTCCATCAACATACTGTCTGCCTTTTGTACTTTAATGACACTGGGCTATGGGACACATTATTGTTAAAATACTACTCAGTATAACCTCATGTTTCCACAACTCCCTCTATTACACTCTACTGAAGAGATCCATGCAGACACTACAACCATTTACATTTTCCCTACCTTGCCTTTCTCACACAAAACCATATCAAAACTCTTAAAAAATCCTAAAAGCAGCCCCCTCATTTTACCTATCTATCCTATTCTCCTCTCAAAGAAGATTAAATTGATTGAATCTCCTCTTAAATTCAAAGTTTTATAATATTTCTTAGAGATCTAAGCAGCCAACTGGTTGGTAGGATGTGACTGAATATAAAAAAATCCTACACTGGTCTGAAAACAGTGCATTTAGAAAATCTGATTTTTATACAAACACTGATAAAAATTCAGCAATGTTAAACAGTGCAGATGACTAATTCTTTACCAGTGACTAATTCAGTGATTACTGTGTTCATGTTGATAACAATCATATCATTTAACATTTCATTTAACAATCAGAGCTCTCAAAAATAAAAGTATCAACAGATACTCAGCTAGTGGTAGATGCAGGAAAAAAAGCACCATGAAAATGGCACAGTATAATTAACATATATTTTGAATAGTTCTGTTAAGTTTCTGATCCACTGAGGCAGTACTTTTTGAGTTGGAATTCTCCTCCATTACTGATCTGTAAAACAGCTCTGCAACAACGTCCCACGGCAATTGGGTTGCTGGCTCAATGCTGGTTCAATAAAATGAAAACTATAGCGCTCAGACACAACAGTTTACTGGATCACAAAAGTGAAATCAGATTGGGAAAAAATCATAAACAGCAATCCAAATCTGGTGAAATCCTCTTTCAGCTTTCCCTAAGTAAGATTCCATAGGCCCTTAATCTGTAAGGGTCACTGACAGTGTTAAACTGATGCCTATGGCTTACTTTAGTAGTCAAGGCTGCTGGCATTACACTGTATATAATGACAATGTATTTGTACCCTAAGATTACTATACAATTAGCATTCATGAACTAGCTACATGTTCCCTTAAACTAAATTTGAATGTTTTTTCCTCCCTGATGCAAAGGTTTTAAGCCACATACAATTAATTACAATACAGTTAATAACATTTAAAAACATGGCAGTTATGTGACGTCAGGCTCAGGACTGTGTTAAGTTGATCAGGAAAGGAAACCACTTAAATCCTCAGCAGATGATTTTTTACATACTATCTTGCAAAGACTTCATTATTATCACCTGAATCTTGGAAGGTGTTTTCTGAGGTGTTCTTCTATCTGTTTGAATCTATCGTGATCTATTAGTCTAACAATTTCATGTCGTCTAAACAGGAATAAGCAGAAGACATCAGATAAAATTTATTTCCTAAACTCAAATATTTACAAATGGTGAGATGTCCATACAGTCAAGAAAAGGAACTTCAGACAATGTCCACTTCCTATAAAATGCAGCCACTTCTTCAGTCATCCTGGCATAAAGCACTGGCCTAGCAAAGGCAATCACAATTTCCTTCCATATTTTGACCAAGTAAATACATAACTTTCTACAAAAGAATTTTTCTTCAGATTGGTTAACAGCTCGCATTTTTTCAGGATTCACATCAGAAACTTAGACTTAACTAATAATGGTGGTACTTATAAAGATGAAACCACCAGTTGTTAGACTCAGATGTAAAGTGTATCTCTATACTTCATGTTTCGGGTTAGTGCCATAACAGGAAAACATTTAGCAAACACTCATGCATGTGAGATTTTGTTAAAAGCTCAACTGAAACTGCACCTGAATTTCCAAAGACCACATCCCATGGAGAGCTGATAGGCTGTTCTTCTCCTTTAGCTCCACCTTCTTTATCAACACCTTGTATCCCAATGCCTGCTATAGTGGTCACAATCTCTAATTCCAGGTCAATCTGTAAGAAGCAAAATTATATACACTAAATATACAACAGCAAATGTAGTTAATACAGAGGTAACACGGATAATCTGAGATAATCTATGTAAAAAATGGTGTTCCTTTGCAAGTAAAACTCAAATCCTAATAAATTTCAGGTAATTGCTTATGAAGGAAAATCATTAATTTTACCATAATGCTTTCTGCTGGTGGTAGGAGAGTAAGGCAGCAGGAAAAACAACAGAGCGCATTTCTCTTCCAGATGCACCAAAATTTAAGACTGGTTTGGTCAGCAATTTTAGAAGAAAGCACTAAAATTTTCTAGAGAAGTGTTTCAGATGGACAATGGATATGGTTATTTTAAACTTCTAAAGGAATATGCTATAAGAGCTCAGATACTGTAAATTATTTCTTGTCATTTGATAAAATAATCTATACAAAGCAAATTGTTTCTGCAATTCATTTCACGCCTTGAAGGAAAAAATATTTTTTATTTCTGCAGCCCAAATCTACTTATCTTTTTTTTCCCCTATGTTTATATTCTAAGTGACTTCTAATATCTCTCTTTTAATAACAAGGTAATACGATATTGCTTCAGCAAACTTCTCATTATTCTAAGTTTGACCTCACTGGGTTTGAGATCCAAGTCCAATTAAATATTAAAAGCAACGTTTCTATGTGCTAAAAATATGCAAGTGTTAAAACAGAAAAAAAACCCCACATGGATTAAAACAGATTGTAGACCCAAACATTTAGATATCCACGAATCTGTAAGAATACAATAACTTCTGATAAGAATCTGCCACAACTGGAAGTGAAACAAAAACAACTTCTGCTTCCAGCACTAAGAATAGTTATTTCTTATAACAGGAAAGTAAAACTCACTTGAAGTAGTGCATAGCTTCATTTGAAAGGAAGTACACAAGATATATGCAGCCCTTTACAAAACCACCATACAAAAGCATTTTTTAGGAAGTTATTAGACCACATTTCTTTCTTATGTTGAGAGTATCTGTAGAATAAGTCACTTGATATACATTTTCAAGTAAGTAGGACAAGGCACAAAAGATTAAAATTTCTTATGGAAAAATTACCTTTCTAATTAGATGATTTTCTGTATCAGCTACGTAAATAACATTATTTTTTATAGCAACGCCTTGTGGTGAGTTGAAAGCTGCCTCTGAAAATCTTCCATCTCTTCTTCCACTATTTGGACCTATAAATGAATCAAAACAAACTCAAGATTCATTTTAGAAAAAGAAACTCAAAAATAGCCAGTCTATTTAAACCTGTAAAATAATCACATATTCTAAAAGGTGCTTCCACAGTGCCTTGTAGAGTTTACATTACGTACATTTTGTGCAGCCTCATTTTAGTCACTGTGATGTGTAATTGCTGTAGCCCCACACTAAGTTTTGAACTCAATCTCCATGAGTTCTCTGCATCTTTAAGATTATCTTTCAGAGAACAGTCTTAGCAGGGGTCTAAATTGCTCCAGTTCCATTCTGCTGAGAGGCAATAGTAACTGCGGAAGACAACACTCAAAAACCCTTTTTTAAAATTTATTCCTAATTGCATGAAAGCAAGTCAGCAGCAAAGATTTTACATTCCAACCTCTGTTCCATTTCAGTGGTTTTGATTTTACTGTAAATACAATGAAACTAGGATTAGATTAGCAGCACTTTCTCATTACTAATAAAAACTTAGCAAAAAGATGACACGCAACAAATTACATGGGAGAACAGTGAGAATGATGGAGTGACAGCCTTCTGCATAGCACAGTGAAGAAATAGAGAGGAATGCGACCTTGATAAAGCAGTATCAATGTAAGCATGGTATTTCAGATGGAGTAACATTTAAAGTGCATCAGCACTGTGTGTCAGCAGAAGACATTTAAATTCATGAGTTACGTGCGCAACATGATTTATGATGCAAATATAGCAATTTCAACCTTTGTGCATGCCCACATTTATTACTGTATTATCAACTCAATTACACTATTTTCTGCCCACAGAATCATTTAACTGAGTCACTAAAATACAAACTTTTACGACTTACTGTCAGCATACAATTCAGACCTGAGCAGACATGAAATACTGAGGTACTGGTGTGTTGGATTCCAGTCATTCCTATATAACTAGGACACAGCACAGAGCCACAGGAACCGAGGTACCAAGTCAGAGATTAGGACACATCCCTCCAAGCTGCTCTTTACTAAACATACCAGAACATTCATGGGTACTTTGTTGGCAGAGACCTCAGCTCACATACAAAACAGAAACCAAACTGTCTGACTCCTGTCATAATAAATCCTGTTTGTGTTTCTTGTAGAAGAGCATTGAGACTGATGCTTTGACCAAGGTTCACTTGGAAAATGACTCAGTGCACTGCTTGTGCCACTGGTATAGGGAGTTTGATGATCCTACTGAAAGGTGCTCTTCATTCAGAAACAAACAAAAAGCACCCCTGAAACACACCATCACCATAATCCAATGTTTTCTTTTTCCTCTTGGAAAGGGAAGCATTCTTATCTTTTTTCTCTATCTTACTGCTAGAGGTGGAAATACATCACTTAAATCTAAATGCATTTGAAGCTCTTTCAGAAGAAAGAAAAACTGTATTTTTTTAAATCATATAGGCTGTCACATAAAAATACTGAACTTAGTTAATGAAACAAAGAAAAAAAAATTAGAGGTAACTCAACTATTTGCATAAGAGTTTCTCATTGATAGTATTATGCTTTTTCCCTCCCATGACCAGTAAAAGTGATTTTTGAGAAAAAGAATTCTACCAATGTTTCTGAATTACTAGGTCATAGGAACACCACAGAATATAGTCCACCCTAAACAGAAAAGTCTGTAACAAAATTTACATAACCTTACCTCCAATAGTATGTAGAATTTGCCCATTTTTCAGAGTGACCAAAATCCTGTGATGTCCAGTGTCTGCTATCACCAGCCTTTCTCCTGATTTATCTACTGTCACTTTGCCAGGAAACAGCAGGGGAGAAGGTGGGAGGGAGTCTTTGTATAGCTTTATTCCAATACTGTTATCTTTAATTTGTCCTCTCTCCTTGTAGAATTTCAGTGTTATTGAAGTAAATAAAAACAACTTCTCTTTGTGCCCTTCTCCAACAAGCGAAAACAGCATGTTTCCACGAGGCCCAAGAATGACCAGAGTTGGCCAGCAGGACACTTCTAATTCATGCCACAGTGTTGCATCTGCATCGTTCACTACAGGGTGGACAATATCGTACCTCAAAACTGCACTCTTAATGCTATCCAGAACTTTTTCATTTGGAAACTTCGCTGAATGGACACCAATAATAACAAGACCATCTGAAAGGAAAAGTGAATTATTACATTTAAATATATTTGTATTTCAATTAAAAAAAGTAAAAATGAAGCAGTTACCCTCCAACGTAACTAAGTGCATTTCAGAATGAAGAGGGTTGAACAAGTAAAAAGCATAATATGTCATAAATAGTTTTTAATTTTTTAAACTCTGCATATTAAGGCAGCAAATGCTTTGAAAATAATCAGGGTAAGCTGTAGCAGTTCAACTGATACAGTGTTTTCTCAAGTATTCACCATACCTCTTTGACTTCTGATTCCTTTACACAACTATGGTGTTTACAGAAAATTAATACTTTGCTATTGTAAACTAGGAATCACAACTATAACATGGAACTTCAAAAAATAAAGGAATGGTACAGGCTCCTAAAATCAAAACAGTATCCTGTGTTTCACATAAAGCTGGCAGCACTGGAAACCATGAAAAAAAGTGCCTATCACATACAGGTCCCAACTCCTTTCTTTAAAAAAAAAAAAAAACAAAAGTGGATTAAGTCAATTTAATCTTCAATTTTTACCCCTCCTCTTAATAACAAAATATCTATATTTGGTTAATAGAGATAATCAGTAGTATAGAGATTCTGCACTTGAAATCCTAGCATGAAGGTTCTCTTCAATATTTTCATCAACAACATCGATGACGGGCTTGAATGCAAAGTCAGCAAGTTTGCTGATGATGCCAAGCTGAGTGGTGCAGTTGACTCATCAGAAGGAAGTGATGCCATCCAGAGGGACCTCGATAAACTAATGAGGTTCAACATAGCAAAGTGCAAGGTTTTGCACTTGTGTCAGAGTAACCCCAGATAAGTATACAGACTGGGAAAAGTACACCTTGAGTAGCCCTGTGGAAAAGGACCTGGGGGTCCTGGTGGATGAAAAATTGAATGTGAACCAGCAGTGTGCTCTTGCAGGTTGGAAAGCAAATGGTATCCTGGGCTCCATCAGAAGAGGGGTGGCCAGCAGGGACAGGGAGGTGATTGTCCATCTCTACTTGTGAGGCCCCATCTAGAGTACTGTGTCCAGGTCTGGAGCCCCCAGTACAAAAAAGACAGGGAGCTGTTGGAGAGGATCCAGAGGAGAGCCATGAAGATGTTCAAGGGACTGGAGCACCTCCCCTACGAAGACAGGCAGAGGGAGCTGGGCTTGTTCAGCCTGGAGAAAAGAAGGCTGCAGGTTGACCTCATTGCAGCCTTTCAATACCTAAAGGGAGTCTATGAACAGGAGGGGAATCAACTCTTTGAAAGGGTACATAATGGCAGGACAAGGGGAAATGGTTTGAAGTTGAAGGGGGGAAAATTTAGGTTGGATGTCAGGGGGAAGTTCTCTACTATGAGAGTTGTGAGGTACTGGAACAGCTGCCCAGAGAGGCTGTGGCTGCTCCATTCCTAGAGGTGTTCAAGGCCAGGTTGGATGGGGCCCTGGGCAGCCTGGTCTAGTATTAGATCTGGAGGATGGTGCCCTGTCTGTGGCAGGGGTTTGGAACTTGGTGATCCCTTCCAACCAGGGCCAATCTATGACTCTCTGATCCTATGAAGGTGCTGGATAAGCACAAAGTAATATAATTCAGCTTGTATATGTGGTATAGACAGCATCAGCCATAAATTGATCAAAAAGCACACAACTGAATTGTTTGTTTATTTTCTCACTTCAATGAAACTCAGACTGAAAATCTACAGTTCAGAACTCACCAGCTTTCCTCTGCATGATAAAAAATAAATATACTTCCACTTCATGTAAATAATTTCATCAGCAGTCCCAAATTTTACACCCCCCCATCTACTTAACAGAACAAGAATAAAGAGCCTTGCTTCAGCAAAGTCACTTTTCAGTACTTCCTAGGAGGAAAAAACCTCAAACACTCCAACAAACAACTCTGGATCCTTTTTCAGTGCTTTCAATTATGTTTGCTAGCATAATCTCTCAGAAATTAAATGAGCAATGTACATGACATCAACAACATATTTTATTTCATTTTCTGCTTAAAGAATACTTAGCCACAAACATCATGTTGTTACAGTCAAAGTAACTTGTCAAATCTGGGATGATTTGGGTTTTGGGTTATTTTTATTTTAAAATTCAGAGATGCGAGTAAAATAAATGAGACTATCTGAACCATGACATTTGATTAAATTTCAGAACATTCCATTTCTAGAATCTGGTGCTCACAGCCATCATAAAAGAACGGGACACTGAAGATCTTTCATTACTGAAGCCAGGAAGATAACGACAGTAACAACCATGCAGTTGTAGAAAGTTGCAGTACAATAACTTTAAACTTTAATAACGTTAAACCCAAACTGCTGATTTAATTGAAATCTTTAGATGTTAACCCTATGTAGTGGAAATACTAAGTCACAGCTTGAACCAGTGATTGAGCACCTGATAGGAAGGCAGAGCCAACCCAGGGGAGCTCAGGTGCAAGCAATGCCCCTGAATGATTGGAAGGGGTGTAGCCAGGATCCACTGCTTCCTAGACCTCATTTAAAGGTCGGCCAGGAAGGCAGTGCTATCTTGCTGCAGATTACTGTGTGCCTGAGGCCTTCTGAAGGTAAGCTTTCCTTTATTTCCTCTTTCTTTTATTTCTGTGCCTGCTGCTGTTCCATTTGAGAGGATCCTCGCTTGCTACAGCCTGGGGTTTTGCTGCTCTGCTGTCACTACTGTAAATACCGCATGTTGCTTCCTCCTATGCATTGAAAAATCACCTGTGTTTCTATTGTAAGCTTTTTACCACTGCAGGTAACTGGAGTCATTCTACTACTTTATCCAAGAAAAAGCTATAATCTTTCATCTTATCTTATGTGTTAGGTTGAGTAGAGAGGCTAAAGTAAATGGGAAAGGGGGAATATCCTTATGGTTAACATCCTTTTTAGTTAATTTTACTAGATTTAAAAAATATTTTAACAGCAACAAGTGCTGTTTTTCCAGTCATATCTATGCAAATATTTAACATCTATAAATTCTTTCATTGCCTGTGTTGAAATATCTGTAGTGTTTCCTTCCTTCCCCCCGCTACTGATTCACTATAAAGTGAATTCCATATTTTTATCATCAATACAAGTAATGTCACAAAAGAGAAGATGTGGAGACCCTACAGGTGTGAGGGATGAAAAAGTAAAATTATCCAACCTAAATCCAGTTCTGTTGATGTTTAAACTTTAATAGATAACTGGTGCAGAGTCCTGAAGAACTTAATGAGGTTCTTAAATTACATCTATCTTAGGTTCCATCTTGGATTAATTTGTGCTGCTTCAAGTATTACAGTGAAAAACGGTGTGTTGTACTACTATGGGCAAAATAGGTTTGACTGAACAGCTATTAAACTTGCATAAGGAGGATACAATTTAGAGGTTAAAAGGATAAAAGCAGATGTGTGAATTCCTAAGGAACTAAGTGCCTTTATTTCATGTTGACTTGAATATGGTAAAGGTCACTAAACTGGGGAAGGGAAATTTCAAATGTTTTCTTAGCAAATTTTCAATGAGACTTCAGAGTGTGAACTGTTCAGTTCTTTTTAGTGGCAGATAATTAAAAGACTATTTTGCACTTATTTGAAAATAATCTTTTATTACAACAGTATAAACTTTCAGTTAAGAAATCTTGGACTACTTTCCTCCAGGTATTTGCTATATTTTGCCACTGTTCTTTCCAATAGGACTTCAAATCTTCAAGGCCTACTGCCAGAACAGTTATCCACAATCCAGTTGGTTTGAATTCAGGGTAACAGCTGGTTCCTTCTAGGTTACTCTCCCTCAGACTACCTAAAAGCACACCTGCAAATCTCTTCTTCCTGTGTTGCTCAGTGGATGCTTTTTTTTAAATATACTTTTTCCAAAGATGTCAAACCTTTTTCTCCTTATGCTCTTAAAGATTTCTACAAATCAACATATATTAAGCCATTATATTCCCTTAAAGCAACATACTCCTACCTATGCCACCAACCCAATGTTTTATTTCTAAATCTAACAATGTGGTTTCTTCTCAGCCTCCATGAACACTTGCTATGGAATATGGATTTATCTTGCTCTATTCTGTAATACAGAAATCCAAATTCTACCTTAGGAAGGCATTCTTGACATAAAGAATTCTACCATACTTTGCTTCCAATGCCTGCATTACTGTTTGGTTTTGATTGGTTGTTTGGGTGGGGTTTTCTGTGGGTTTTTTTGAGGCTTTAAAGATTAAACCAATATATAATATGAATTACTGAACAACTGTGTTACTGCAAATAATGCAGCAAAAATATCATAGTATACAAAGCCAGAGCATAAACAATCCTTCTACAAAAGGAGAATAAGCATCCTATTGTACATCATGGTTCTCTGACACCTGCTCCAGGAAAGAAATTTTCTGCAGCAATGCACACTGCATTACTAGCACCTGATGAATGATCTCTAAAAATGGAGGGCTGCCAGGGCTGTTATTGTTTTGGCAGCACAACTCATATTTAATTTTTATTTCAAGTAAATTATTTTGATTTGTGTCAGAAATGTAAGAGGCTATTATTTCATGACTTAAGCAGTTGGGTTATTGAGCTTAGAGGAGTTTGTTTCCTTCTTAAAAAAAAAAAAAAAAACCAAAAAAACAAAGAAACCAATTTAATCTCTGACTTGCTTTTTATTTGTTTACAAAGAAATTGAGACTTATTTTTCTATTTTGGCTCTTCTCCTCAGCTGTAGAACAGTATTAATAGGGAAGAACAGCAACTGGAGAAGTGGCTACATTTCTGGAAGAAAACAAGGAAGGGTGAAGCTCTGCACATGAGCTGCATAAAACAAGGTCATAGATAGAGAATCAAGAAAACCAAAGAAATAGTACTGTTGTTGCCAATCCAGTAGGCATGGCATGTTGCAATGTGAGACAACTCAAATTCTAGTATCATCAACTGAAACTCTGAATGGCAATTTAAACACTTTCACTATAATAAGATTAATTAGTAGCAGTGCTTGTATCTGTCCATCTTAAATATAATTAAGGCTGGAAGGATAACTTATTTGATACCTATCCAGCACAGACATTATAATGCTCCCTCATGAAGAAAACTTCTGTGGAAACAGATGCTACATTTATACAAGAAAATGCACACCATTTAAAACACTATTTGAAGGATTATAGCAGAGCATAACACTGGAGTTATGCCAAGCTATTTCTGAATATTAGAAAGTACTCCCTCTTATAGAAGTAATTTCTGGACTGCTGATAACATGAACTGGATATGCACTGGGGTTTAAAATAACTTTCTGAATGCCACTTGAAAAACAGAAATAGCTCCACTGAAGATAGCAACAAGAACAGATCAGATAAAGATGCTAGGTGACACTTAATCCTATGGAAAGCAGTCTTTACTTTGAGACAAATCTCAAGTTCCAGACAATAGAACTGTGTGCAAGATATATTTAATGGCTTAGGATCATCCTAGAACTTCAAGATTCTTGTTTAGCTGTCTTATCTGATGATTGTATTAGTGAAGTTTCTACATTTTTCCAGCAAGACAGGGTTTAAACCATGTGGACAAAAATAATTAGAAGACCAAAAATTCTGCACAAAAAGATGTTGCTGTAAATTATAGCAATACTAAGGTTTGTTCTCAGTTATGCAGAAATATGGAGGAACACTTCTTTAGCTATTCTAACACCAGATTAAAGACCCAAATGCACTATGAAGTAACCTGTGAGAGTAAAATACTTGTTTTTCCCTCTGAGTAACACTGTCTGCTGAATCAGGACTTTTCTGCTAAATATGTAAATGAAATGTGTGTGTAAATGCTGTAGGTTTTTTTGTAATTATGAGGTGAGAGATGAGGAAACCAACCCAAGCGAAAGTGAATCTGTCCCCCATATCCTGAAGGGACAATAAACTTGCATTAACTAAAGAAGGCAGCAGATTAAAATAGAATGAAACTCTGGCATCAGGATGAATGCTAAAAAAGTTCTTATCTTAGTATTTTTAAAGTATTTTTGGTATGCCCAACATCCTTTCTACTTCAGTCTTATTCTTCCAGCCTTTACTTTTCTCAAGTTTCTCAAGCTGGCTTTTCCTCCCATCTCTTAGTGACTGGTAACTTTTATCTCCTACACACTTGCTCTCATTTCTTTCTACTCATTCTTTTCACTTCCATCCCACGCATCTTTTTCTAAACTCCAGTTCCTGAATATCTCAAATCTAAAAAGCATTTGTTACCTATCAGCGAAGTACTTTGTACAAGGTTGTTAAAATAATGCTTTTTGTTACCAACAGATTTAACAGCTTAGTTTATTTTTTTAATCAGAGATGGTTGCTATATTAGTACAATAGCACTACGTTTTAAAATGTGTGATGTTTTAAGATGTTATCAATTCAATGACCAATGTCATCTTCTGAAGTCTTGGGGCAGACTTTCTTTCCAGCATGCCTGACATCCAGAGCAATCCCTTTATAATTTCTTCATTGCTTTCCACTTAAAACTCCTTAACAAAAAAAAAGCTATGAAGGTGTTACTTTAATGAAGTTCCTCATAGCTAAAATAATATACTAGTTCTCAAACCCCTCTCCAAAGCAAACAGTTAAATTTTTCAAAGCAGGTGAATTCTATTTAAATCTTTTGTAAAGCACTATTTAAACCTACAGTATGAGTGAACTAACTTAATGAACTTTTAATTTCAACGACACTGTCATCTGTTTTTCAAATAAAAACAGGAAACATGAAAATAAATACAGTCAAAATGAAAATCAAATCAGAAATGTTACTGTAGAATCAAAAATGTAAACCTTAAAGTAATGTCTACTGTGTTAGTCCTTAAAATATTTTATTGAATGAAAGTAACACTGTTCATCTAATTAGTTAGTCTGCTAAAATATACAAGTTAATTTAGTAGCTGATACGTTCCTGTATAAGAACACCTCTCTGACAAGTCATCAGAATGACGAGACTGAATTATAAATAGTAATTACTCTGGATTTTCTTTCAGTTAGAGAGAGGGGCTTTATTTCAGATGTGAACTTTAAATCTTTAAGAGCTTAATCCTCTCTCTCAGGATAGATGGCTACTAATTGAAAATAAGATGATGCAAAAAAAAAAAATCCTAAACCAAGTTTACGTATTTTTTCTTTTCAATTAGAAAGAAAAAAAAAATAGACTAAACCATGTCCTGCTCAGAGTTGATTTGTAAGGCAAATGTGCATACAGCAACTTTGTGCCTGTAACTTACATCCATGCATTTTGCAAACAGTCCTATGAGGATATCGGATTCATGCTTTAGACACACATCCTGTCTTTTGTGCCTGTATAGTTAAAGAAACACCATATTTAATCCCACCTAAAAATGTGATGAGAGTATAGCCAGTAACCTTTGTCAGGGTACTTAAAAGATTAGGAGACATTTTTAGGCATCCCTGAAATGCTGCCAGCTGTTTAGTAACTGAAGTGACTCAGCTACTCCACCTGCAATGCTGCCAGGAAATTCTATTCTGTGCAAGCCAAAGCTCTTTTACCTTTATCAGAGTACTGGTGCTCTAATTCATGGAGATCAGGCAGCAGGTGCAAGCAATTGATGCAGCAGTAAGTGAAGAAATCCAACACCACAACTTTTCCACAAAGGTCTTTGTGAAGAGAAATGGGACCGTCAGTGTTTAACCACTGTAGATCTGCACAGAGAACAGAAATAGCCAGTTAGAGGAAGGGCAGGGAAAGGAAGATGCTTGTACCTAACTGGTATGCTAACACAACATTTCTAGTACATTTCACTTAAGGCAGACAACCCCATCTCTTTCTACCAAGTAGAAAAGCAAAACAGAAATCTTATGTTTATCAAACTCATCCTTATATTACACAAATATTCAAAATTACTAAATGAAATTTTTATGACATTTAATGTAACTATGTAAGCTGTGCTTTCAATTGCCAGAAGATGCAAGCTGCAGAACAATTTCCATATATTTTAAAAGAATCTATACAACTCAACACCTAACAACATCATAGGTGTTAATAACTACTTACTTTAAAAACTCATAAATGCAAGCTGAATAAAAGCTCAAACTCTTCATTTTACAACATTTTTGTAAACAACCATTTTCAGAGATGACTGCAATATTTTTGCTTTTTTAGTTTTGACCTTCATTTTATACAATCTGAAATGACAGATATGAAATGTTACTTCCCAGGTGACAGAACTATAACCCTTTCAGATAGAGGTGGGAATGTACTTGGACACTTATTTTTATTACTTGATCTGAAACATGAAGGCAATGCTTTCTCACTGGTGACTGATATTACTCTGATCCTGGTATTGAGATACAAATGTCCTAGATAACTGTCACTCAACATTTTGGGGGGGAAAAAAAGGAGGAAAAACAGATGGGATACATTGTGAAGTCAAACTCAATTCTTACAGGACTATTTTTTGAAGTGTGCAGAGGTACTCAGAATAATCTGAAAACAGTCAGAACCTTTATTCAATCAGTTTCAGCAAACTATGAGCTCAGTGCTCCAGAAGTTATTGCTACCCAAGTCAGCAGATTTGTTTTCTGCTTCACTATGAGGAAGTTTGGCTTTTCTCTATACACAGGCACAGTACATACTGATGTATATACAACATGAATGTATGCACATTCAGACTTAGAGACAGTAATTAATTTCAGTTCATTCATTTCTGCGGTACAAGACTGAGGCTTTACATTTTGCTTCTTGAAAGAAGGCTAGACTGCTTTAATGGCATAACTCCCCTTTTCACTAGAATTAAAGTATCTTCCTTTAAAACATACTGGAATTAAATAGTGTTGGCTACTTATTTGATCTCATCAATAGAGAAGAACAGAAGCTTTGACAGAATACAGAAAGCAAAGCAATACTAATGATAGCGAAGCTTCAATTCAGGAGGCCAAATCCAAACAGTAAAAGCATTCGCAGTGGTTACAAGTCAGAATTCACTCCTATGCTATGTGTATAATGTTAATCCTGTATTTTATCTGTTCGGGTCTCTGTCTTGCAGCCCCTCATTTTTTACAGCCCCAGCAAGCATTGCTAAGGCCACAAACACCCAGAGCAGGAATTGCAAGATGAATGCTTTGCACAGGAGTCACAGGAATATGGGAAGGGGAAAAAGGAACACCACTGAACCAGGATGGCACCTCCAGCACAAAACACTTTATCAGGAATACAGAAATCAGCAAGCATAAATGTGTCACGGGGTGAGAGAGAGCTCAGAAAGGCCTGAAGTGGAAGGGCAAGGATTGCAGCAAAACCAAAGGAACCAAAAGAAAGCTTCCTGCAAAAAAACGAAAGTCTCTATTAAAAAAAAAAAAAAGTTAACAATGCTATCGGAAGCTTAAGAACGAGGCTTTAAAGAAGGCGTTTTTACAAGAGATAGCAAGCGGGCCACTCGTAAAGAGGTTCTTTTCTCCTTCGCTCCCGTGCTTTCAGAAGCCCGCTGCCCAGCAAAAATGCCTTTTTGTACACCAGCCGACGGGGCGGTGGTTCCGCGGCGCATCCGGGCCCCTCCACCCACCTCCGCCGAGCTCGGGCACTGTCAGGTCCCGCTCCCGGCTGTCCATCTTCTTCAGGTACTGGTAGACCAGGTTCTCCTTCTCCTGAGGGGTGTCGGCATCGAGCAGCGCGTATTCCAGCTGCGTCTGTGCGGGCAGGAGCCCCGCCAGGCCCTCCGCCGCCATGGCGCCTCACGGCCGAGCCCGCCGCTGTTTACTGGCCTGCACTTTCGCCGCCGCACATTCGGCCCGGGATAGAAAAGCTGTAATCAAAACAAAGTAAAACAAGCAAAGAAAACGCTAAACACAAACGCACAGAGATTCGTCTTTCCTAAAGGGAGGGACTTTTTAATTCACTTCTCATTTTTGACCCGGCTTTTGCAATTCGCAGGAGCACATTCGTGAAGGAAACTGTGCTCTAACTGTGCCCAAGCGGTGATTCCTGTCCAGCAGATTCAGCACCACCACCTTGGTTTTTTTTCCCCGCTTATTACGCTTTTTTTTTTTTATACTTAAGCGTAAAATACGTCACAACTGGGATGTATCGGGACCAAATTTTGAGGTTGTTTTTTTTTTTTTTAATTTTTCGGAGCGGGGAGAGGTGTAATGACAAAGGAGGTGACGAAACTGCGGACGCCGACAGGGTTGTGCGGGCCGGCCGGCGGCTGCTCGGTGGCGGGAGCGGAGCGCGGGGCCGCGGCGGCTCCCTGCTCACCTCGGTCTTCGCTGTGTGACGGCTCGTGGCAGCGATCTCGGAGCTGAAGTTACTTTTTTTTTTAAATCTTTCTCGGGGGCGGTCAGGGGTGCGGGGAGAGCAGCACCCCAGTCCGGGTTGGGGGTTTGAGAGGAGGGCTGAAGGAAATGGCTCTGTCAGCCATTCCTTCTGTATCTGACAGATTCTGCTCTTGTTTAACAGCTGTTGCAGATACTCAAAGAGGCGCTTGTTAAATTATTTTCAGGATAGGATCCACCATGCTCCTGTCCCATCAGGGACTGCTGTTTGGTTTGGGGCACAGTGATGCTTTTGTAGAATGGGGTTCTATTGCTTTTCTTCCATCTCCCATTCACTGCTGGAAGACAAAACGTATCAGTAGGAAAGTTAGATTTGTGAACTGCTGCTCAAGTGCAAGGACAATATTTCATATGTTGCCATGTCGGAAGATGCTTTATTGGAAGAGGACATTTGGGAATACAAATCGATTAGGAAGCGAAAGCCACAGAGTAACTCAAACAGTTCCTCTGTGTCCATGCAGACAGTGACCAAAGGCAAATGCAGGCCGAAAAGAAAGGGAAATGGAAATAAAAAGAAATCTGTGGATAAAAATAGTACTCCTCAGAAGAGCGAGCAGACATTGAGGCCAAGCAAGGACCTGGATCCGTGTAAAGATGACAGCAGTGTGCACGCTCAGGAAAGCCAGAGCAGCCTGACAGAACAGGGCTCACCAAGCACAAGGCTGGTTTGTGATGGATATTGCCCAAGCTGTCAGATGCCCTTCTCCTTGCTGGTTGTGCAAACACCTCGCTGGCACGTTGCTGAATGTTTGGATACTCCAGGATCTGTTGAAAAAGGTAGGAGTAGGGTAAGAAAGAAGTCTTCAGCAAAATATGTTAAGCAGATAACACTGCTGTAAGCTCTGGTTTTCATATGTAGTTCAAATGTTCTCATATAGAATTTTCAGTTCTTTGTGAAGAACATGGAAATCTGATATGAAAATCTCAAAAAATGTGGAGCATTAATAAAGATTCATGATTGTTTAACAAGTTCCACTTTTATTGGCTTAAGGAAGAAATCGAGGGTACATATTTACCATTGTAAAATAATAGAAAATATCCTTCATTTAAGGGTTTGCAACTTTTGACTCAGAATTTCTTTTTCCTTAGAAATAAATTTCACTATCCTATATGCATATTGCTGTCCTGTAGTAACAATCACTTCCCTCTTCATATCCTTTTTACTTTTCTTGAAGTTTCTTCTTCAGAACAATTAAAATTGAGCCTTTGATCCTGAGTTTGATGGTAGTATTACCTTAATGCAGATGTGCTACGCTTCATTTCCATCTCTTCCTCCTATAATTAATGGGGAAAAAAATACTAATTGATTTGCATCTGTCTTAAAATTCTCAAAAGTTAGATTAGCAAATTGTCAACAAAAAGTGTTCAGGGAACAGCCACAGATCTTTTGTTGGCATGTGAATCCTGAGTACTTTTTACACATAAGTAAATACCTGACTACTTTTCAAAATGTCACCTAGACAATTTTAAATGGAATTTAAAAGTAGATTCAGAACCTAGATTTGGTTTGTTTTGAAACACGTTTTAGCCTTTTGGGGCACTTTTGATCTGAGCCTTGCTTGTACATGAGAATTCTAAACTAGAAGCCACGTAGCACAGTAAGTACAGTACTGAAACAGTGTAACATATTCATCTTGCTAGAAAGGTGAATTAATGCAGGCTCAGTGCTGTTCTAATATCAGGTTGGAAAACCTAAAACCTTTCATTTCGCACCAGCTTGGGGCAGGAGATTTGGCAGCCTGACAATTACTTTGTACTTGTGGCTTCTGTCCTCCAATAACTACATTTATAAGAAAAGCTTTAAAATTGTATGCCATGTGAGATTTTTATTTGATGTAATAATTATGCAAACTACATTTACAAAGATATTAATGTTACTTTTTGGCTGAACTGTTCTTTCATAGAGTGTCCTGATGGTTTACTGTGTACATCTACCATTCCATCCCACTACAAGCGCTACAGCCATTTTCTACTTGCAGCAAGCAGAGCAGGAGAATATCTTGTGAATTCTACAGCAAACACTTTGGAGAGGAAGATGACATGTTCTACTACTGCAGAGTCCAGCTGTTTTCCAAGTCACGTAGAAGTCCCACAGACTGAGAAACCATCTAAGAACTTAAAAAATGTCCCAGATAATGAGTGTACATCAAAGATACAGGATTCAGCACAAAGGAAGTCTCTAAATATAACCAGTGAAAGTACTTCCTCTTTTGCAGATGTTCAAAAGCCTCAACAAGTATTTCAGCTCACACAAACCACAGATAACAGCTGTAAATTTGAATTTTATGACTTTACATCTTCACAAGAAAGCGTTTCGGGAGAAGATCTTTGTAGTCAAAAAGATACAAGCCAGCCAAACCTACTACAGTCAAAAGCTGATTTCAGTGACTGGGAAATTTCATATTCTCCACTTAGTACTTGTGAGGAAAGTGAAGGTGAAGTTGAGAAAGAGAAGGAAGTAAAAACATCACAAAATAAACTACTCGAATTCCAGAACTTTGAAGGTGATGAATCTGATGCTGAAGTTTTTAAATTTAAAAAACAACACTGTGAGGAAATAAATACATCAAGCTGTTTGCATCATAGTGGAAAAAGTGATTCTCAGAATTATGTGGCCAGCAAATGCTGTAATTCACCATGTGTAGATAATCAGCAAGTGATGCTATCAGCAGAATCCTCTTTTCCTCTTAATTGCAGTGAGGAGTTCCAACAGCCAGGATTGATTTCCCCTGCAATTAACACAGGTAATAAAGAGTCACAAGACAGGGGTGCTTGTGCTTTGGATTCTGTGTATTCAGGTCTTACTCATACACAAACAGAGCTGCTTAGAGAAGGTGCTGGGTCTCCTCTGTCTCAAAAAAATAAGGTTTTGAGAGGCTTGAGTGTTGTTTTAACTAATACAGATAAAATGACTGCTGATGCAATTGAAAAAGGAGCTTGCCAAGAGGGTTTGCAGCCAGCGGTGAAGAAAGAAGAAAACCTTGATTCAACTGGTGCGTGCTTTCCCAGCCCCATCTCTAAAACGGTCTCATCTTGTTCCTTAGCAAGTATGAATGCCAAATCCAGTCCTGCCAAAGAACTCAAACAAATGGACATTGGTGTTTTCTTTGGGCTAAAACCTAAAGTAAAAGAGGAAAGCAAAGGAGAGGCGTGTTTGAGTGAGGGAAAGCAGATACTGAGTTCAGTAGCTCCCAGTGGAAAGAGGCCCAGACAGCAAAAAAGGAAAGCTGAAGGATCTGTGGAGGATCTAGAAGCAGTTAAAGAAAGTTCAAGTAAAGATGGAGGCTTTGCAAATGTAACTTCTGGTGGCCAACGAAAGTGGAGAAAAAGATTTAGAGAATCATCTACTACAGATGAAGGAGCAAGGAAAAAACAGTGCCCTTTCTACAAGAAAATACCAGGTGAGAGATAACTACTGCTTTGTGTAGTGGTTAACTAATTTGGGCTTGTGTATTACATTTTTTCCCCTAATTTTAGGCTTCGTTACTCTTCCCTCCCCATATTCATTTAAATAGCAGTCTTTAATGAGTACTTCCATCAGAGTCAATAAAATCAGGTCTGGATGCAGATCTTCAGAAGAATCTGACCATGGGACAACAGCCCGCAGAGGCCTCCTCAATAAAGCACAGTGAAATGTTTGCCTCAGGAAAACAGTTACTAAGACAGACTTCTGCTTATTTTTGACAGAATAAGAAACATGAGCTGATTTACTTTCTAAAGTGTTTTTGAATATCTCCTTTGTTAATGTTCACTTTTAATTCCTGTATTTAATCTTTTACATTGTATCTTTTGCCCCTGAAAATAGGTTGGTCAATTAGACTTACTTTCTTATGCCAATTTAAAAAAAATATGGGATGATACAGCAGCAACTCTAAAAATTTCACAATTCTGTTTACCACCAAAGGGTTTAATTTTACAGAAATATTTGAGGAAGCAAGATAGAAATATACTGGTGACTACAAGAGCCAGACTGCTTCTTGAAGATTGACCTTTAAGTCTTCATGAGGTTACACCACTATTGTGGATTCCATGAACTGCGAACATTTCCCATATATAATAAATTTGAAGAGGAGAGTTTTATGCCTGCAACAGAAATTGAAAGTTGTTTTGCTATAATCTGTATGTTTTTTGTTTTAATTACTTTACCTGAAGTAAAGTATCTGTGCTGATAATGCTACGTGTTGATCTCCACTTGAAGATTTTTTGTTTTATTTTGCTTTTTATTAGCAGACAACTATGTGTTGTTTTTTTTTTTAGTGGAGTTAGAAATTCTAGTTATTTCTAGCTATAGCAGAGCTATTCCTAGTTCTCCTGGAAGAGCTGTGAGATGTCAACAACATAAAATATTTGATTGTCCCCAAATCATTGGATCATTGCAGCATTTGGTGGTTTTTCAAAAGTACAACCCAATGTAAAAGGATCATTTGTCATTGTCTGCTTTAAAAACATTTAATGTGCAGGGAGGAGGGCTGTCTTCCATGCTGCTGTCTTTATGCAATATCTTTGTACAAACAGCACCTCACTAAAAACGTGGAATAGCAAATCATTCAAGTTTTATCTCAGCAGACATATTTGAAGATCCCAGGTCACTTACTCAGTAACAGTGTTTGTGGAGAACATTAAACATGGAGTAATTGAGATTTTGCAGGCTGATCACAGCCTGTTGTGTTAAACTGTTGTTAGCTGTTTTATTTTGTGCTAAGATTTTAAAGATGAACTTTCAAAAATGCCAGTTAAATACAGATTTGCTTAACCAGCTGCCATCTGTGTAGGATGGCAGCTGAGCAACAAATAGATGGGAGACCTGTGAATGTGTCTGCATGTGGATGCATTGCTAAAACTTTGTTTTAATGTGAAAAAAACTTTTTATTATTTTTTTTGTGTGTGTGAATGTTGACTCATTTGCAAACTCAGTCCATCATTAAATGGTCCCTGACACTTTGTATGGTGGAATTATATTCTGTTCTTAATTTGGAAGAAAGAAATAAAAAAAATAAAAGTATAAGAGAAATCTCATTAGAAACTTGTTCTGAACTATCTATGATTACTGACTGATATCTCTTGCCTTTTTGCTTTAGGAACTGGCTTTACAGTTGATGCTTTCCAGTATGGAGAAATAGAAGGCTGCACAGCCTATTTCCTCACTCATTTTCACTCTGATCACTATTGTGGGTTGACAAAAAACTTTGTATTTCCACTATACTGTAATAAGGTAAGGTTTTTCAAGGTAACTAGATATTATCAAATCCATATATAACTATAATCGTGATGAAAATGAATACAGGACCAGAGATTCCATTACTGGGGCAATACACAACAGTGGATAATATGTACAGGGGAATCTGGGAAGAAATCTTATCTTAGTTTGTCTGTTAAAGAAGATTAATGAAACTTATTTAGTTACCAGGAATTAATTTAGGTTTAAATGGATCTCTAGAGATCATATAGCTCAATTTTCTACTCAGTACAGGGCTAACTTCAAAGTTAGATCAGATTGTTCAGAGCCTTTGTTAGTCAAATTTTGAAAATAGAAGGGGACAGGTTCTGCTGTGTCTCCATGCAACCTGTTGCAGTGCTTAAGCCACTCTGATTTTTTTTGTTACATGCAATTGAAATGTCTCATTTTACAACTCATGACTGCAGCTTCTTTTTTTCTTTGCATGTGTCATGGAGAATAATATGGCTCCATAGTCTCCATTAACTTCATCAAGGGAGGAAGGTTTGAAATTAAGTTTCCTGTAAGCACCCACTTCTCGAGGTTAAGTAAATGCAGTTGTTTTAGCCTGGTCCTGCATGCCTGTGCTTCAGGTCTCTGAGTGGCCAAGACTGCCACTGGCTGTGTTATGTCCAACCAACTCTTCTCTACTCTTAGCATGGTAGGGCACCTACCTTAATAGGCCCATCCAGGGTCTGCATCAAAAATTTCTCTATGAGGTACTCTGGAAGTCCCCTGAAATAGATGCCTCCCATGTTGTCCTTCCAGCAGCTGCTGGGTTGACTACAGTACCCTACGATGAGAGTCAGGGCCAGTGACCTGGAAACTTCTATAGTTATTTAAAGTAAGCATTGACAACTTCTCTTCTTGAGTAGGCAATCAGTAACAAATACTCATCATGTTGTTGCTTCTTGTTGGCCTCTTCACATTCTCATAGTTTCTCTAAGCCAGACAGTTTGGCTTTGAGAGCCTTTGTTTCTAAAATAAACTTTTTAAAGATTTTGTTCCTTTTCTTGTTACAGATAACTGGCAATCTGGTGAAGAGCAAGCTTCAAGTCAAAGAGCAATACATCAATGTGCTGCCAATGGACACAGAATGTATAGTGAATGGGATCAAAGTGTTGTTGCTTGATGCCAATCAGTATGTATAATTACATTTGTTATGCAGTGTTTGTGTAAAATATTAAAGATAATTGGCTGAACAGACCCATTTTTTTCATAATTCTTGGGTTTCCATGGATCTGAAAAAAGAAGGGAAGAAATTCTTCAGTACCCTGACTTGACTTGTTAACATAGATTTTCATTTCATGAGTGACTTAGGAGTGTAGAAGCCTAAACTTTATTGCTTATGTTAGCTTTTGGAATAGATGAGCTATTTTATAAAATGAATCTTAGGCTTTTTTGGTAATGTAACCTTAGTTTTATTTTGTTTGTTTGTAATGAGCACTTTAGTGTTACCCACACATATCTCCTTATTGTTTACACTTGTTGAGAGTTTGGAAGGTTTTGTAGGATCTGGGTACTTCATTTTTTTGTGCCTGATTGGAAACATCTTCGAACTGATGATCAGATCTGTCAGGTTTCTGTAGCTACAACTCAAGATAGTGAAATATTCAGCTGAAGAAAAATATGGTACTTTGGTTCCTGAGAGAGATGAAACATTCAGAAACGAAACAAAAACCCACAAACACCACAAGTAACTTGTAGTGGATTCAGTGATAAAAGGGTGAGATTCTTACCCAGTGTGATGCCAGTGTGTGGTTATGCTGGATTTTAGGTTCAGTAGCTCCTGACTTCCAGCCCTGTGCTCTTGTTGTTTTGTCTCTTGGTACCTTATTTGGCTATGTGCTTGAAGAAAAGTCCTTTCCCTAAAGTATATATTGAAATGCAGCACTGTCACAGCTGGTTTGAATATTACTTATCTTAGGATTTGTTTATAGTTGGAGAGATAAGATTCCATGAAGTCTTTCGAGAACCCTTTCTGGGAATGAAGGAAGCCTTGTTTCTTATGTAATTTGGACACTTCTCATTTTTCCTGTTTGCCTCCCTGAGCCCCTGTTTCAGTTTGAAAGGCATATAAACCTTAAGTACGAAGTTTAACTTCTTGGAAAGTTTACCAGTTTTCTCATTTTAGCTCTGATTCATGCCAGTTTTCTCGTTTCCTGAGGTTTCATTTACCCTTTCCATATGACTCATGTCCAAAATAGTCTCACTCTGATTTTCCTGTCTGAGCACTTGCCCTTCAGACAGCTTTGGGGAGGAGCTGCGGAAGGTGTAGTAGATTCACTGTGGCCAAGAATTGTACTTACAAGCAGTGAATTCTGGATGCTGGATGATATTTGCAACCTGCAAATAGAGTTTAAAAGCAAATGCTTCATTAAGTCCTAGAGGGATGAAGATGAAGATCTGTAATACTGCAGTGTTTCTTAGAGATGAGAATGCTGCTGCTTTTGTAGTATGCTGTTTCCTTGTTAACTCCAAGTTTAATAGAACCTCAGAGATTGCAACCAAGGCAGCATTTGTTGTACCCGATGAAAAAAGAGCAACCCAAAAAGAAAGTTAATGCTTGATTATTTTACTATGATGTGGTTTTTTTCTCTCCATCTCAGCTGAGAATTCAAGTCTATCTTGTCTATGGCCTTAAGGATAGCTTTAAAATTCCTTTATAAACTAGGAATTTCTAACTACATTAGGCAGCCCAGTAGGTGTGATTTACAGTGCTGTTGTGCACACTTTCTTGCTCTTGGAGGGCAGCGTATTACTTGTCTCAAAGCACCACATCTCTACAGAGGATTATTTATATGTGGGTGTTTTTTGTATTTTCTTTCCAGTTGTCCTGGTGCAACAATGATCCTTTTTTACCTGCCTGGTGGAACTGTTATTCTGCACACAGGAGATTTCAGGGCAGATCCTTCTATGGAGCGTTACCCTGCTTTGATTGGCCAAAAAATCCACACCCTTTATCTTGATACCACGTAAGTTGAGTTAACTTTTTTTTCAGTCTTTTTTTAATTGCAGTTTAATATTACTCTGTGAACCAAATAAGTGTAAGTGTAAATAACCTTACTGTTTTAATACTCATTAGTTCTGCTTAGTGTTATGTCAAACCCAAAGTTCGTATACATCTATCCTGTTCATCTGCTGTGCTGTTAATGTGAGAGAAGAAAAGTGGTTATTAGAAAAGATGCATTTGTTGAAATGGCTTTATTATTTGTAAGTGATTTGAAGTTCTTGGGATTAAAATTTGTATAGTGAGTTGTTCAGCTTTAAAACTGGAGTCTTCTGGTTGTTTCTATGAGTGTTCAGCTCTGTTATGAAAAAGCAGGGGGAGGGAATTGAAAGATTGAAAGAATGCCAAATGGATAAGTCAGATTTCCAGGTTTTCATTAGACGTTTCTGTGACTTGTGTATGTAAGTGTTTTTCTGTGATGACTAACGTCCAGCTGCAGTTCTTTATTTCTGTTCCATATATTTCTGTGAATGAATAATGCTTTATGTTATGGTTTTGTGTGCATGACAAAAAATAGACATAAGGATGTAATTAGAATGTGCTACAAATGTCTAGCTTGAAAGTGCACTTGGTATTTATAGAGGAAAAACTACAGAATAGAGAGTCAGGCAACTGAACTGACATTGGGAGAAGGCATGCGTAGGGTAAATTTTAGTATTATCTTGACACCTCAGTGGTTTCTGATAAATAGATCTCAAACTGAAATTGTATTTTAGGAGAGCATCTTTTTCTTATTGCATATATGCAGTTTGAAGGTCCTTAGTAAACTCGTCTTCCATCTGATCTATCTTGTTTCCGTGCCCCAGGTACTGTAGTCCTGAATATACCTTTCCTCCTCAGCAAGAGGTTATCCAGTTTGCTGTCAATACAGCCTTTGAGATGGTGACTTTAAACCCCCGCACTCTGGTTGTCTGTGGCACCTATGCCGTTGGAAAAGAAAAAGTTTTTTTAGGTAAGTAAAAAAAAAAAAACAAACATCAAACACAAATAAAAAACACTAATAGGTCAGGACTAAAACACTAAATACAGGACTAAATAAATGTCTAAGTGCATGTTGAATTACATTTTTCTGAAGGATACAGAGGGGTTGCTTATTTCTTCAGGTCAGAAATTGCGTTAATTGGATGAATTTAATGATGCTACTGCTACTTCTTTATTTTTCTAATCAGTAAGTTTAAACTTTTGGGAAAAACTATTTTTCTGCCATGTTTACATACACACACTTCCAAGTATGCAGAAGGAATACTTGGATACTAAATGAATAAACCTGTTTAATTGATTGTGGGGACAAATGTGCCAGTGATCATTTTAAAAAGTAAATGATGTATTTTTGTTTTAGTAATCTCACTTTATCAAAGTAGCAGAGGGATGTAATTATTCTTCAACTTCTATTTTGCTAATAGTTTTTCCTTCAAGCTTCATATAATGTATTTTCCTAAATACACATATTTATCAGTTTTAAAGAAATCAAGTTTTACACATCATTCCCCAAACCAAAACACAACTTTTCTGTCCTAATGAAAATCTTGTATGCTATGCTTCGCTCAGGTACAGCATTAGAAATCAAAGTGATTGCTTTAGAGTATGCTCCAGAGCATGCAGCTGTGCCCTGTTTGTTCTCCTTGTGCTTTTAGGTATATTTGAAGTCATCAATACAAAACTTTTGCACTGACATTTATTTGCTCTACCTTGTTTTCTTTGTATGTCCCAAATCCCTGCATGTTTCCAGCTTGTTTGAAGTGATTACTAGTAAGATTTTACCAAAGAAATAAGACTTTAAACTCGTCAGTGTGCTTCTCCTTTTCTTTCCAGTTGTGATACGTAATTCTGGCACTAAAACATAGCAGCTGGAGTAGTGGGTTTTTGTGTGTGTGTTTTTTTTTTTAAACAGCCACTACAGGTTTCTCTTCTCAAACAGTTTCACATTCTAAAATTATCTTGTTAATATAGATATTTTTGTCCCAGTAGTAAAATTGACCCAGGGTAATAGTTAGAAACGGTTCCAAAGAAGTAACAAAATAGCTCCTATTTATTTTATTTGTGTTTGGTTTTATTTGTTTTTCCCAATTAATTCTTAAGCAATTGCTGAAGTTCTGGGTTCCAAGGCAAGCATGTCCCGTGACAAATATAAAACACTGCAGTGTTTGGAGTCAGCAGCTGTTAATTCCCTCATCAGTATGAACTGGAATGGTACTTTGCTTCACATTCTCCCCATGATGCAAATTAATTTTAAGGTAAGTTCTAGAAGTATACTCTGCTTAACCTTCTGGCTAATCTTGACTGTTGGCTCTTCTCATCAGTGTTTGGTGCTTATTACCCTCTTGTCAGATCATAATTACCTAGTGAAGTTTTGACATACCGCGTTACATTGAAAATGAAATGCAATTAAACATTAATAATGTCTCCAAACATGATATACAGAAAGCACCATACTGAAGTGAAATTATGCTTGTGCAGGATAAGCTGAGATTTGTTTCAAGACTTGCTCTGTACAGGCTTTTTGAAGTGGATTTCTGTAATGACTGCAGGGTCTACCTTATTAGCAATTAATGTTCTGGCATTGAGTTCCTGCTTTCAGCCTGTCTTTATGTGATGTAGGTAAAGACTAGAAGGATTTTCTGCATGCAGCTCTGCATGAAGATGAGCTTCAGCCCATAAACATTGCTAAATTCCAATTTGGTATTTGACGTAAAAAGGGGATAGATTTTCTTCTGTTCCTCTCAGTTCAATTTCCAAGGATTTGCAATCATATTTTTACCTGAAAAAATGTTATTTCTCCTCCTGAAGAATAAGGATATGGATATTTGAGGATATGGATAATTTAAAACTCTGAAAATTTCTGCATAAACAAATACACACATCAAATGAATTGAAGGATGCTTTTTGCATACACATGCTTTAGTTTTTCCATGTGATTATTAGTATTTTTTTTTTTTTTTAGCCGAAGGAAGTAAACCAGTTTGTGTTTAAGAAGTTTCACAGCAGATGAATATAAAAGCACATTCAGTTGAGATTTGAGACAGTAGAATTTTGGTGTTGAGACTTCTGTAGGAATTTCTTAGCTAAGAAAGGTGACTAATTTCTGGGGTGAAGAGGCGTTTTAAAATACAGAAAGGCAAAGCAGCAGCCTTTAGTTTAAAGGCAATCTGAAAAAAAGAGAAAAACTGAGCTCACTTAGTACTGACAAATGTGGATTAATTTTCCTGCTTTTACTTCAGGCTTACTGTGCCACTTCTCTACTTAATAACTTGCCAGTGTCTGACAAGTTAAGTTAGCAATTGGTGTTTGGTCACAGCCTCTCAATCTCCATCTCTCCTCCCTCACATCTCTTTTCTGGCTACAAGCAGATACCAAAATGTCAGTGGCACTTCAGGCTAACCAGATGATTTTGCACTGAGGCAGGCTTTTTTTAATCACCACTCAGCTACAAGAGTGCTGACCAACAGCTGAGAGAAGGAAACAAATTGTTTGGGGGCAAGATTAAAAAAGTGATGATGCCTTATGTGTCCTGATTTGTAATGCATAGCTATTAATAGGTGCTTATTTAGATGAAACAGTTAAGATCCTAATGTACAAGTTGCTCTGCAAATGTAAATATTCATCGTTATTGATTTGAAGGCAGGTGGTATTTAAAAGAAAAAGCTCTTATAAAAGCATGAAAACAAAATTTAATTTTGTCTCTATCATGAAATCTCCAGTGTTTCAACTAATGAGCAATTTAATGGTATTCAACATATGCCCTATTTTTTTTTAATAGGGGCTGCAAGATCATTTGAATAAGTTTTCTGAGAATTTTGATCAAGTTCTGGCTTTCAAACCTACTGGATGGACCTATTCTGATTCATGCCTTTCTGTGATGGATATCAAACCGCAGACGAGAGGGAAGATCACCATTTATGGTATAAGTGTGGTAAAGCTTCATTGCATTTAGTTGTGTGAATGGTCTTTGTATTTTTGTTCTGGGAACTCCTGCTGTTTATTGTAACCAGTGCTTTCTCAGATAACTCACTGAGAAACTGAACAGATGGATCTCTCCAGGAGAAAGTAGTTGAGAACATGAAAACACTGTAAATGAAGACTTCTTTTCGTACTTTTTGCTCCTGTTCTCTTCTTGCAAATAAAAGTTTTTGTGATATACTTGGGCTTGTTTAGGTTGGAGAAGAGAATGTTCTGGGGAGAACTCGTGGCCTTCTAATATTTGAAGGGAGCATATAAACAGGAGGGGGAATGACTGTTTACAAGGGTGGATAGTGATAGGACAAGGGGGAATGATCTTAAACTGAGACGGGGAGGTTTAGGTTAGATATTAGGAGGAAGATTTTCACTCAGAGGGTGGTGACACACTGGAACAGGTTACCCAAGGAGGTGGATGCCCCATCCCTGGAGGCATTCAAGGCCAGGCTGGATGTGGCTCTGGGCAGCCTGGTCTGGTGGTTGGCAATTCTGCACATAGCAGGGGGTTGAAACTAGATGGTCACCGTGGTCCTTTTCAACTAGGCCATTCTATGATATTTGCAGTAATCTCCAGGGATGAATTCTTGGCCCCACTGATGCTGGTGGCAGTGCAGTTATTCCGTACCTCACTCTCATGCTGGAGAGAGAAGACTGTGGGTCATCTTCTCCCTGTCAGTTCTTATCAATAGATGAAATTGAATCTTTTGAAGTTTTAACACTAATTTAATCAAATGTTAGACTGTTCACTTTGCACTGACAATTAATTTGGTAACAATGCAAAATAACTTTCCAGAAATAAAATTTGGATTTTTGTTTTCACTTAGCTGTAAACTTTAGATCTGCAGTTTGAATTAAAAAATAATAATAATAATTTCTGAACTGGAAAGCTTACAAAGGTATTTTGGCAAGAAGCTAGATAGAGTAACAGATCTCTCCGATTTGTTTCATTTCAGGGATTCCTTACAGTGAACACAGCAGTTACCTGGAAATGAAACGTTTTGTTCAGTGGTTGAAGCCACAGAAAATTATCCCCACTGTAAATGTTGGTGACTGGAGAGCCAGAAGCTTGATGGAAAAACATTTTAGAGACTGGATGATTGAGGGCAGCGGACAGAAATAAGGAAAAATGTGTGTTTCAAAGAAGAGAAGCTGAATGGGAAATTCAGAGTTTCTGTGAAATTGTGACTCTTTTTTACATGGAAGTCTTTGGGAAGGATTCCACTGCCATCCTCCTGAGAAAATTGGACTGGTGGGAGGGTACCTTGTTTTCTGATTTACCTACTAATATATTTTCCTATCACTTGTTTGCAAATGCCTATTTCAGTTTATTCTTATCTTATTCTTTTTATCCTTTTCTTAATCTTCCTCAGATTATGGAGATGCCCAGATGTATAGTGCTGGGGGAGAAGCCACCTCCAGGTTAATCTTTTTGGAAAATAAGTTATTGTAATAAATGAAACAGCATTATGCTCATGTAATGTTCTACCAGCTCAAGCTTCAGAGGAGCTCATTTTTTCATAAGCTGGAATTAGTTTAATTAAAACTTTATTTCCAAAGTTTACTTGATGTGAGAGTATTGGTGTAGCTTCTGCAATATACGTGCTTGCAAGAATGAATTTTATAGAAGACATTGTTAATTATATTATGGTCAAGATTTTTTTAAAATAAAGAACGTACATGAAGCATGTGAGTTTTTTCTAAAATGTAAATGCATTTATTTTCAGTATGATAGTTGCTCATTGAGAAACATCTCTATACTTCCAGTGAACGCTCCATGTATTTTGCTTTTGTGAAGTTAGGCCTGTGCCCTTGTAGTGCAAATTCTCAACACAGAGCCAAAGAACACAAGAGCTTCTTCTCCATGTGATGCAGCGCATTTGTGTTTGCAGAGTTGTTTATACAGCTTTGTCCTTTGAATTCTGGAAAAAAGTAAAAGTAAATCAGGAACACCAAGGTAAGTTTCACTTTGCGTTTTCTCCCTAAGTGGTGCTGTTTCTTTATCTGCTTGGTGTTTATGGTACTGAAGTATGTGGTTGCAGACATTGGTGTAATTTTAAGTGTTTTAATAGAAATCATTCCAAAGTGTTTGATCATGCACAAAAAGCCATCCTACAACTCCCTAGTATAGCAAATCTGAAATCTTCAGTGCCTTTTTTGTCAGGAAAATGTTTATTTAATGGTCAGTGTTAGTGTAAAAACTTGCAATGATTCACAGTTCTTTCAGTACATTCACTGAAATATGACATCGTTAAATGGTTCTGTTTAACCTAGGCAATTAAAAGTATCTGAAGTTTTTATTTTACATCATATATTATGCTAGCTCCCCTTATCACAAGAACCATTCACTGCCCTGGATTTGGCATACCCATTCCTAGGATTCCACTCCTTGTTGGAGTAGGTGTGTTAAAAATTATCTGTTGGAGTGCTTGCTTCTGCTGAGCCTGAATTACTGCCTTGTACAAGTTAGGGCAAATCTGGGGATTCTGTTTGGCAGGCACGTGCTTCTAACAGTTGAATTGTTATGGAATTATTCATGATTTTCAGCTTCCGTGTCTTTTTCCTACCTAATTTTGCACAAAGTATGAGGGGCATGCTGATGTTAAAACTGTAGTCATGTCTCTGACGTCCTCTTGCTTTTATAGCTGCAGTTTCAAGAACGAATATCCCTGCAGAGAATGAGTAAGTGTGTGGGTTGTGAACATGCTGACGCTTTTATGGGCTTGCAACGCAATTAGTTAGCCTTTATGCAGATAGTAACAGAACCTAAGTGTGTAATGAAGAATATTAAGATAGCGTATAATCAAAGCATATTAAGGTGTTATAATAATGAAATAAACAAGAGAGTTAGGCAAAGCACGACAAAGAGAATAAATAGGATGCTTAACAGTATCCTAGGCTCGCTCAAGAAACTCCAGTGGAGTGGATCTCCAGAAGAGATCTTTCCCCACTGGTAGTCAGCTCTTAAATGGATCTAGGAGAGGTGCAGCCAGGCTCCACCCCTTCCTGCAGCACAGGTGAATTGCCTTCACCTGTGCTCCCATGGCTGACTCATTGCTCATCTCAGGTGATCAATGAGAGATTCAGGCCGTGACTCAGCAGTTCCCATACACGAAGTAAAGTGGCTTTCACTGCAGCTGGTAGGTGTGAGACAGATGTTCCCCCCATGGGGCTCTGCTTTCTGGTCTCAGTTTCTATGCTACTACCCAGAGCAAAGTTTACTTTCAAAAGCAAACTTTAATTTCTGCATCTAACCACAAAAATGACATGTATTGGAAGATGCTGGTATTGGCATCGCTGGGCTGATACAGTTAGTGTTGTCCTGATTTGGAACAGATGCTGATAGACTCACAGAGTAAAAGCAGAAGAAGAATGGCATTTGTACTGAATTCCTTTTTTGTCTGTGTGCTGGCGTCTGGTTTCAGTTGCCTGCTTTGCTGTAGGTATTCATGTGTCAGCCTCCTGCTTGTTCTTGTCCCCTCTTTCTCAATTGCATTCGCACCTCTACCTACCTTCACCTATTTTTGTGTGGGTAGATTTGTCATCCATCTTCTTATTAGGAGTTGTCCATGCCATTGTATATTTAGCCTCCTTCATATGGAATAAAAAAAGATCAGAATCTCAACTTGGGAAGAAAGATTTTGGTTGTTTTTTTTTTTTGTGAGTTTTTTTTTGTTTTTTTTTTTTTTTGTTCTTCTCTGTATTGTAAAGGAAGAAGGTTAATAATGGGATTAGATTTCTTAGATTGCCACAAGGGGCATATAAGCAGATGTGGAAAACCATTTAATTAAGAATTTTGTGGAAAGATTTATAGCAGGATATCTTCTCTTTCCTTTCTGAGATTGTTCCTTAGGGAAGGCTCTCTGATCACAGCCGGTTAAGTCCTCTGAGGGGCACTGATAAGATAAACCTCATTTCAGAGTTGGTGTAATTAATTAGGACTTAAGAAGTGACTCTGCTTTTCTTAATGGCAGAGTGAATACTTTCAGTCTATTAGCAGCATTGGAATTGTAAATACATGAGGAAAAAAATCCTTTCCTTTGGTTAAAATTGTTGGCTCCAACTGAAGATGCTGTTGTTTAAGGTCAGTAGATGAGGATTTTTGGTCTGTGTTTTGTTACAGTAAGACTGTACCTGGGTACCCTGTGTGGTAGATGGGCGAATCAGGCTCTGTGTTCACCACCACATCCAATGAGTGGCAAATGTCAACATAAATTACAGATTTCACTAAAGCAAAATGGGTTTGTGAGCATCCTGGGTGTACTTCCAGCTTGTCTGTTGCTGACAGACTTGGGGCAGAAAGCAAAAAGGGCAGCAGTAACACGTGCCCAATCAGTGCCCAGAATGGTTTTCAAAGCCAACCACTCTAAAGAATCGCTTTGTATTTCCCATCCATGCTCTGATTACATATCTCCCCAATAGGCAGATAAATGAGCTAAAAGCAACGCTGTTTGAACAGGGCAACAGGAGGGGAGAGGAAAGAGAAGGAAAGTGACTTGCTGAACATGCTGAGTCAGGTACTGAGGTTCAGACTGGTTGTGACAAATGAAAACAGCCACAGCAAGCCTGTCCTTTCCTTCACACAGAGCCCTTAGGTGCTGTTAGGGTGGAACTGGTCTGTGGAGCTGGTGGAAGCCTGGAGGACTGCATGCAGAACCCTGCGTCCTCCACATGCCTCTTGTTCATCTGAACCTTCACCCGCTGTCGTATGGTGGCACCTCATTATCGAATCTCCAACAAATAGTTTGGCAGGGAAGAGGCTTTTCCACTTGGTCACATTTACATGTGCTGTGCTATCTCAGAGCAGATAGTGTCTTGTTTGTGCCAGTTCCCAGCAAGTGTTCACATAAGGACTTTTAAAACAGTTTAAATTTTCCTAATTGCTGTTGGAAAGTAACTTTACTCACCTTTGCTTCTGTGTGCTGTATGGATTGTCATGGATCGAAGAGGAAAATGCACTGTTTTAGGAAAAAAAATACAAATCTTGCACAAGAGGAAGAGGTGACATGAGGACACACGCGTAAACAAAGGCGACGCTGGGGCTGAGTTTGATGGGAAGGGCTGGTGATGAGCTCCTGCTCCCCCCTCCTGGGAGGCTATTACTTTCCCTCACTGTTTTCCTGCAATTCCTTCATGATCCTTCCTGGGACAGGTAATTCCTCCCAGCAGGGAGAGCACCAGCAGGCTGCAGGGCTGATCCTCAGGGCATCCCGCAGCATGGCTGGGGTGGATGTCCTGGGGGGGGGGGAAACAAGGCCTTGGGCTGTGGGGAGGTGCACTGAGGGCTATTGCTGCCTCTGGGGCTGGACAGAGGTCTCCAGCAGTGCGTCAGGGTTCCTGGGTTTCTGCCCTGTGACAGTAAGTGCAGTAACCTGCTGTGAGCTGCCATACTATGGTGGAATTGATGCTGCAGGGCCTTGGCAGCACTCTTAGGGTGGGGGCCCTGTGAGAGCCCATGGCCTTACACACAGATGCTCTCTCTCCATTTTAATCTCTTGAGGAGTACAGGTGTCAGCTGGAGATGCTAGTGTGTTGCTAGAGTCCAATCCAGAGGCTCAGTGGCTGAGAGTCCAGGAAAAGCAGCGAAGGGCTTTGGGTGCATCTGCAATAAATAAATAGTGGTGGGGCTTGCCAAAGTGGATGAATATTTGAGAGAGTTGCACACTGCAATGAAAGCCAATGAAAGGTGATGCTAAATCAGTTAGGAAAATTTCAGGGATTTTATAGCAACGGAACTGAATGATGAATGTCTTCTCAGTGGAAGCCGACAGATGTTACAGCTCTTGTTTCCCGCTTTTGTGCTTTCTAGTTTGCTCCCAGGATGTTTATTCTAACAAGCAGCCTGATTCTGATGCCCACTAGGGACAGAAAACACTGCTGTCTGCTCAGATTTGGCTGCAGCCCAGGCTGTTCTTTAGGAAGGAGCATCAGGAGGAGAAAGCACACAGGAGCCAGCCAGGCAGGATGGCTACTCACTGAGAAGACAGCTCAGGTCATGCCCCCAGGTATCCCTCAATCTGCTATTTCCTTTACCCTTCTTAGAGGTTACAATACATTGCCACAGGCCTGGGACCAAGCTGTTTCATGCCAGGAGAAGACCGAAGACTACAACCAACCAGAGGTGCAGAAGCACACCATGGGAAGGCACTGATTGCTGGCCATGGTACAAAGCAAAGATGCACTGAGGTGGTCCAGGGCTGGCTGAGATCTACACCCTGCAGGGGGCTGGGCTGGGCAGGAGCAACTCTGTGTATGCTGGGGCTGTGTAAGTAGCACTAAGGAGTTTGTAGCAGCGCTAAACAGCTTGTTGCTCAGTAGCCCCTGGACAAGATAGTTGCTTACTGACTCTGTTCTGCAGGGGTATGTTGTGTTCTATAATCCTCCTTCTTGCTCCATTGCCAAAATCTCCTTGTACTTCCTGTAGCCTCTTGCTCTTCTGATCAGCAGGACTTGAGCAAGACAAGTACAAATGGATGGAAATGCTCTGGGCGCCAGGAACATGGAGCTGCTGAATTTAGCAATGTTTCATCATGATACAAGAGAGACTGGATGCAGTTTTACTCTGAGTTATTCCAGTGCTTTAGCTGGGCTTGAAGAACAGGTACTGCCATCTGAAGCTTGGGAATAACCGTGAGCTGATTATTTTCAAATCACCAAATATAGCAAATGTATTTACAGCAGAGAACTCCACTTTTACCGTCTTTGATTCTATTTTTTCCTACCATCTCACTGTTTATAGCAACTCTTCATGATTGTTTTCCTTCCTCTATCTGTGCTTTCTCCCCATCTACCCTTCCATTGCAGGGGATTTCTCAGAAATTGTTACTCTAGCAGCATTCACCTTTGTTCCTAGAAAAAGGAGCACAAGAACATTTGCTTGGAAGCAAGCTGACATCTGTGAAGAATGACACTGGCTTTAGACATGAAACAAAACTGAAAAGAGGCAAATCAGAGGGTAGGAGGAAGTTCAAGGGCATTTAGCATGTAAATGGGGTTATTTTGGCAAAACGTGTCCTATTGTGCAATGTGCCACTGATCAACTGAGGCTACTTAGGAGAAATAACTTGAAAACAGGAGGTCCTGTTTGGTGAAAAAGTTGTACCACCTTTATGGCTGCTGCTGGTGATATCAGAACATTGCTTGGAAGGACATAAATCTGTAGAGACCACCGCAGCAGCACAGGCATGCTGGGATGAGTGCATCACAGAGTGCTGCAAGGATTTGGGAACTTGGGAGAGCCCAGAAATCCTGGGCAAATGTACAAGATCCTTGCAGTTTGCCAGACCAATGTTTCCAGGTTGAAAGAAGCATGTCTGAGAAATGCAAACGTGTGAGGGGCTTTTTCAAATGGGTTTGTTTCATGGCATGCTGCTCATAATCCAGCACACAAGGCCTATGTTCTAAATCTTCCAAGCTTTATTTTTTTTTTCCTTTCTTAGTTTTCTTCAGGGATTATAAGGCATGGAGACTTTGATCTGTTTTTCTCTTCTGGAGCAAGTGTTTGGGGATTTTGCTTTTCAGAGCAACTTCTGCTATGTGGAGAAAGGTCAATTTTTTTTTTTTTTTTTTTTTTTTCAAGTGGGAAGAGACAGCAGCATCCTTTATGCTCATGTGGATGCTTTGGATTTTCAGGTAGATCTGGTTAACTGGAGCACACACAAAGGCAGATATTTTCAACCCCATTTTGTCTGGAAATGAATCAAACCAAGGAGAGTCTGGGGAACCCTGCAGATATAAGCTCTGCACCAATGCAGATGTTTTGCCTTGGTGGAAGAGATGCTGAGCTCTTTGGGGTAGAAAACCCTGCTCTGGGAACCTGTGGCTCTGAAGCAATGTTTACAATACAGTAACAGACATGACATTTTAAGCCATGAGGTCAGCACTACTGCTAGCCATGTCTTAGTGCTCCTGCTCGCATCTGAACTTCTTTACTCTCCCTTGCCAGGTTATAAAGGAAACCAGCTCTCAGGTGTAGACTTGAACTTGGACACCCCAGGATGAAAAACCCAACATGACCAGGCTCTTGCCACTGTAAGTACAGTCCTGCTGTACAACAGTGGCTTTGTGCCTGAAGAAGAGCTCCAGCTGTCATTTCAATGTGGGAAGGGTGAGACACTGTAAAAAAAACTTCTGCTTAGCATCCTCACTGCTGTCAGACAGAGATACAATTTCTCTTTAGGTGCTTTTGCTGAGTGAAAGATTCACATCAACCTTGGCTGCCCTCTCACTTTCTTTTAATGATGCAATAAATTAGAAAATGATAAGGCACCAAAGGGAACATTTGAAATTCCAGTGGCATTTCTAGGTATGGCCTGAGATGCTCCAAGGTCTTTGCAGCCTACTGGCCAGCCTGCAGGAGGGAAGGGGTTGCCTGTGGAAAGGCACATACTGGGGAGGGCTGACTATCCCTGAGAAGCAAACCAAAACAGCCCTCAGCACAATTCAGATTATGTTGTCAGCTTCCCAAACCTGAAGGTAGATGGGCCTATGGTTAAGGCTTTCTGCTGAGGATTCAGTTCGTGCTCTTCTTCAAATGACCAAAGGAACATCAGGGAGGAAATATTCTTGTAAATATTATCATACCCATTAAGGGCATGAAGTACTGGCCAAAGTTGTCCAACCTACAGGATTTCTGTTTGCTTGCTGCAACTCTGCAGGAGCTGCACGCAAGAAGATTGAGCTCCCTGTGGGAGCATCAGCTTTTGTTCACCCATGACTGTGCTGTCTCATGTTCCTGTTGGGCACTAGGGTTGGCTTCTCCATTAGAATCAAATGGGCACCCCAGCACCTCCCCATGGTGTGAGGCTCTGACCTTTTTCTCTACCTTTCTGCATCATGCTGGTCTCGTGGAGGTGTCTCCAGGAGATATTCTGGAAGTGAGAGCAGTTGACAGCATTGGATGTGATACTGGAGACCACTGTCATTGTAAGAGGCTACGTGCTCTGACCCTGGAGGTGGATGCCCAGTCTCTGGAGGTGCTCAGTGCCAGTTTGGCTGGAGTGCTGGGCAGCCTGATATGGTGAGTGGTAAACCTGCCCACAGCAGGCAGGGTGGAACTGGATGATCTGTAAGGTCCTAAGCTGCTCTACGATTCTACTACCACAGGTCACCCAGAAAACTGGAGACAAAACACTGACTGGTGCCTGGTGTGCTCATATCATCACTAATCTACTTTTCTGCTCTGTACAAAGTAACGCTGCTATTCCCTATTGCAATTTCTCCTTTATTGCTTCTACTTGCTGAAAGCACAGACCCACCAAACATGCCTGGCTGGGTACTCCAGGTCAAGGGACTGAAAATCACACCATTTCTATATGCTATGGCTGGGTACTGTACCGAGAGAACTTGTCTGTATTTCAGGTTGGGATGAATGCAGGAAGGTAGCACAGAACTTCTTCCTGGCTGGACTCATTCTGCTGCTGTGCTTGTGCTCTCTGATCAGTATATGACCCCAACCCTGGTTCTCAGTCATGTTGCCCTCCAAAGGAAGTGCTGGGGCTGAGTGGTTTGTGGTCTGTTTTGTGCTTTCCATATAATGGGCTTTTTTAAAAAAACAAAACGAAACTTCATCACATCAGTTTTGAGACTTCTCTTCCTGTTAATTTCTTTCCTGGACTCGCTTTCCTCCTGGATGGTTGCCACTTTTCTACTGGAGAAGGTACTAGAGATGTAGAAAGAGCATGATTCATGTTTGGGGATTCAGGAGGAAATTAGCAGCCAGTAATAAATGAGTGCAGCATGGGAACTTGCCATGAACTAACAGTCAGGGAAACAGCCTAAAGACGCAGGAATAAAATACAGCTGGTGAGGAACACGTTAATCATTAAACACAGATCATGGAGTCTGTGCTGCAGGCTGTTGGTTTTTGTCTCTTACACACTTCATTTGAAAGCACAGAGCAATTCAAGCTTGCAGGTATTGCAGCTCTTCCATGCCTGTAACTTTATGTTGCCAGTGATACAAGATGTGTTCAGGATTTGCAGCCTTCTGGCTGTGCTTTACAAAGAGGTGCTAGTCTGTGTGTTTACTGAATTTCAGCTCGTGGCCATTTAATCATCTGTGTCAGGAAACCTCCACAGGCCAGAAGCTGTACTTAACAGCACAGATCTTACTGCAACAAGAAGTCATGACAATACCTGCTTCTTTAAGTGTCTGCTAACACAGCACCTATAATATGCAACAGGTGATTGTAAAAGATTAGCAGTTCCACATCAGCTGGCATGGGCTTAAAGACAGTCTGTTCAGGTCTTCTGGAATTAAATATGAGTGCTGGGTGATATAGGTATTTTTCTTTGCTATTGGTTCTAGAGGTGATTTAGCAGAATTTTATCATTTGGAGAAGGGTAAAATTTTCAGACTGGGGAAAAATGTTACAGAAGGTTGTTCTTGTTTTTGAAGGGTAGTTTGTTTGTTTGTTTTGTTTTTAACATGACTTGTTTGGTGACCTATCTAGAAGTTACTGAGAAGTTACAGATTGTCTTTGGTGGATGAGGAGGGACCGTTTTGGAAAAAGTGAGGTAGTTAGGGAATGCAGTATGTGTTGTAAAGTGGTAATGTATTTATTAATTACACATGCACAGATAACTTCAGACATCCTACCAGAATTTACTGTACTGATGTAACTTTCATATTATATGTCTAGCAAGTGTTGTGAATCAGACCCTGTGTAAACACTCACCATTTGCATTTAGTGTTGTGCAAATTGACATAATCAATTGATCATCATTTGATGATCATCAGTTGATAATCAATTGATGTAACACTTCAGTAACTGCTTAAATAAGTACAGAAATATTTTTCAGGTTTTCTGAAATATTCTGGAATCCTTTTGTGCTTGATCTCTCTACTCATAGCCCGTTCTTGTTCAAAAGTAATATTCTCCCATGGCTGAGAGGTGCTGTGTGTCACTCAAAGTCTGCTTCAGCAGCAATGTTATATGCAAGTTCCAGCATGGTGGCTTCTTTCTTCTCACCACCACACATGGTTTGGAGCTCCTCTTTGTTCATCTCTTCTTAGAAATGATTCCCACAAAGTTTCAGGAAGTTGCTTTAAGGCTGTCTCACCTCTTTGTTCTCTCATGACTGGAAAAGGAAGTATTTGTATTGCTGATCAGCATCATGTGAATGTTTTGGGGAAATGTTTCAAAAAAAAAAACAAAAAACACAACAGGTTGAAAGAAAATGCACGGTAGAAAATAAAGCATTCCCCTTTCCCACTGAAAACAGCAAGAAAGTCCTAATCATACAGAGATACAAGTCTTGGAACAAGACAGGAGGGCTTCAGGTTTTCTATCATTCAAAAGAGTTTCTGCAAACCTTGGGCAGGAAAGGTTAAATTAGAGTCATCAGCAGATGCTTGTGACCTGCGTGAGTTGTGATTTCAGGATTCTGGCCTAAAGGTCTGCCTTAGCAGACAGATGGTTACAGGACTGGAGGCAGCCCTGTGTGGTGATGCCCTGGCCACCCCACCCTGCAGAGACTCCTTAGGGGAGAAGTGGAGTTGTTAGACCCAGGAAAACAGCCTGGAGCAAAGGATTCACATAGCAACTTTGGGGGAGGGCTCCTAAGGAATTATTTTTCTTCCATTCTCAGTCTCTGTTATTCCAGAACTGGGATTTCCTTCTGTCTTTATGCAGATTACAGCACAATAAGGCCTTTGAACAAAACTGAAACAAATAGTAAAACATGATCCTTTCCCATCGTAAAGAATAGACATATCACATTTATCTCAAAAGCAAAGATGGGCTGTGGAAACACTCAGTGTGAAAACTAATATTTTGAATAGGAACAGAGTCTGAATTGATTATACAAATATTTTTGTTTCTTTTGAGTTACTGATGCTGTTTTCATCTCAAGCTAAATATAATTTTATAAAGTTGTTTGTTTTTTTTTTTTTTACAAAAACTTCAGATTGGATTTTAATGGCAGTACAGAAATCACCTTTGTCAAATTTGCTACTGGAGTTAAGTGGCAGCAACTCTGATTTTGATAAGTGTAGTTTCTTGATTTGGACCAACGTAGCTGGAAGCCAGACAAGTGTCTTCTTTTGGCCAAATTCACCCTGATGAAAGCTTACATCGGTATAACAGCAAAACTAGGCCTTCTAAACCCAATTGTTATTTTGGTTATCTGGCAAAACAGAATGATCTGTACTCAAAAAATGGTTATTTGGTTCGTTGCCATACTGTCATATATTAACAGTATGTATTTATATATGTAAATACACACATACACGTATATATGCCAATGTGCACATATCCACATAGACTATACTCTGTTTCTCACTGCATTTTTGTGGTTGTAACAAGAGGGATATAACACCAGAGGAGGCTCCCCTGAATCACTACACAGCTCTCCACCAGCCTTCTAAGACCATAATTCTCTGTTCGCCTTTGCTTTTCTGAAGCTGAGAGTAAGGTGTTCCAAACATTGTTCCCACACTCCTAGCTGATTCAAGAGATAGCAGTAAGTCAATATAATTCAGTAAAGAGGTGAACAGAGGCATGAAACTCTACTTCCTCCAGAATTACAAGGTGTATAGATTTCAAAGGTTATATAAATGATTTGACCTTCAGCCTTGCTCGTGTAACAGAAACAGATACATAGGAAAAACACAACCATTCATTGCACCAAAACAAGCTATTAAGACATAAAATGAAATCTTTTCTGTTCTTTGTCCTCAGTGACAAAATCTGTCTGGCAGCTCTGGAAGGTACAGAATTTCTCTGTATGCTACATATTCCATTCTTCTCCCTGATCCTTTCCCTTGAACTTTGGCACTTACTTTGTCATTGACGTCTTTTTTCAGGAACATGAACAGCCTTTAGCATGGAAGGTATCTGAATGTGGAATCCTACATACAGTAAGTTTCACCTTAAAAAGAAAAGGTAGGAGATGCTGCTATATAGATTGTTACTAATGATAAATATTTGTGCTGCCATCTGACTTGTGTTGTAACGAGCTAAGTAAAAAATATTCTGGTTAGAGAGATTAATATTATTTTTTCTTGTTGAAACTGGCTTGCTTTTCTTTTGGTGGCAACAACATCTGTAGACATCAAGTTTCTCAGTAAAACTAAATATAAAGATATTCCTGTATGGTTCAAAGGACTTCAGCATTGAAATACTGAAAATCTGAAATCTCAGAGAAACATAGATATCTACATGTAACAGATTACTGCAGTGTTAAAGTATCACTTAGAAATCTCCTACATTCTTACAAACAAACAAAAAAATGGTTTAGTACCAGGCAGTGAGTTTGTGTAGTGCTAGATAAGGAACTAAAAGTGGGAATCTAGGTGATTCATTTGCCAAAGTTTTCAATTCACAAGCCTTAGCAAAAAATACCAAGCAACTTTAATTTAAATTTTGGGTTATGCAGACTCCTTCAGATCAAGACCTCAAACACAACAATGCAGATCTTGCCATCCCCAGGTAGCACAGGACTAAGAAGTGCTACCCTGAGTGATGCTGAGGGACTGTTTGGTACGGAGGTTATTCATACCACCGTCAAAACAGGATGAACAGGTTTGAATAAAGCCATTTGAGAGGCAAGAAGCATCTTGTTTTCTCATTTGGTGCAATTCATTTAACTGTCACTTTGAAGTTAGCCAAGCATACCTCCTTTTGTGTGGACCTGCTGATGAACAAGGAAGCCTCCTCCATGTTCTGTGGGTGCAGATCATTCACAGCCACTATACGGTCTCCATGGTTAAATAAGCATCCCAGTCGGCAAGGACCAGTCCACTGGGAGACACTAACATGTATGGAGGACAGACAACAAGTGAGTCATAAGGGATATACAATTACCAGTTACTGTCGACAGAACGGAAAACAGGATTGCATTTATGGCACTGCCCTCTGGAAATGACACATGGACTGCGTGACTTTACATCTTCTTGATCTTGGTAGCAAGTGAGACTGATGCTAGCAGCATCACCAGAGATGCTGGGGATTCCATTCTGAAAATGGGGCTAGACTTGGTGCAGGTCCATTTATGTGCTGCACATTTGACCAAAAAAAAATTCCCCAAGGCATTTCAACAGGCTGAAATTAAAACTTATTAGCGTAAGTTACAGTTATGGTACAATTGCAAGGATCAAAGATCTGTTGCTCTCCTGACTGGACCTTCATGCTGCAAAACTCTGCATATGGATGTGTATGCTTCTACCCCTACACTGACTGTGTCACTCGTTCACACTTGACAGTCACCATCGCGCAAGATCCAGGACTTACCATATTTGTCCTGCTGCTTCAGTAAGTTTTAGGTAACTGTTAATATCTGCCAGGGGGACCAAAATATCCAATTCTTGCAGTTGTGTCTTATCTGTAACTTGACTGTGAGAGAAAACATTCAAGATCAGGCACCCTTTTACCACCCTTAAGTGGATCCCAAAGACATATGTGTCTTCTTAGCAACAAGAAATGGGGGAGGCACTTACCTGAGCAGTATAGACAGCTGAACCACTGAAAGTGGTGATGAGTTTTGCCTTCGTGTGAGGAAAGACTGCTGTGTGGTGCTTTCTGGGAGTTTTACATCTGTGTCTGCTTCCAAGTTGCTTGGACTTGCACTGTTTTCCAGGCTTCTGGGAGGAGAATGGGGCCTGTCGTGTCTACACGTTAGACTACTGAAAAAGGAATGGTGATAAAAAATGAACTGGTTTAGCCATTCCAGACACTCCTGCTGGAGTCAAATAGCTGTCAGTGAAGAAAAGAATAACAAGTTCTTGTAGAATATCCAGTGGGCAAAATTACGGCTAGGTAAAATAAACTGTCCTTCTAAAAATGGGCTGTAAATCCTAAAATAAACCTTTTCAGTATTTAAAGACTATTTATTTAGCCCAAAAACATTCCAGCTAACAACATACTTTTAGAAAGAAATGAGTACAGATTGTTGTCCTTGGCTTTACCACCTTTTGTGGGGATGTAACGCTGTCCTCTGAGGGATACAATGACTCAGATGGGCTTGAATACTTGGGTTATTTGATAAGGCTTATAATGCCTGTAGTCAACTCTCTTCACCTTGAACAAGGTATGGGTTAGTAGCATATTGAGTCCAGTGTCATAGACTTGTGATGTTTGTAGAGTGAACTACTCCAAAAAGACTCTTAAAAATGCAGGTGAACAAATTTTTTGTAATAATAATCTGTCTTCTGGGCCTGCGTTTCTGACTGCCTCCCACTAGGTGAAATAATACCTGGCTGTCTGTAGGTGGCAGGACATAGCCAGCAGCTATGGATTAGCCCTTTGGCTCATTACTTTCATGCAGTTATGATATAGGCACTCATTTTTATAGCATGCCAGGCTGTATTGTACTGGTTGTAAAGTTTCCTGGTGACACCACCAACTGCAATGCAATGTTCAGGTCTTTGTTTCTGACATACCAAATACTACACCCTCAAAGTACACAGCAACACAGCATCAGACATATACTTTGGGGAAATGGTAGGAAGGAGTTGACCAGTGCTAACGCTGTATCTTACTGGAAAAACTAGGAGCTAATGCCACAAGTCTTAGGCCTTTTTTAACTAGCTAATACAGTTTTCTTTGCAGGGTGCCTGTCTGAATTGTTGCTGGAACTTGGCTGAGGTATCTGAGCACTGTGGTGTGCTGTTACGTCCTTAAGGCCTAGATTAAGTATCAGTCAACAAAATGTGCTGTGCCTCTTGTCAGAGCCTGTCTAAACGCTTGAGTTGAAATGTGGCATTAAAATTTCACTGTGGTGAGTTTGAACTTCACTCCTGTATTTCCACAAGCTTTGAACTTTCTGAATCAAGACAGAAGGAAAAACTCATTCAAACAAGATGCAGCCTTTAGGTGCTGTGATATAAATACTATGAACAACAGCTCTAGCTATACCACTTGTAATTTGCAAAGCTTTAATGGAGATGTTTAATACAGTGTCGAAACATTTGATTTTGCAAAAGAATGGTCAGGCACTGGAATAGGCTGCTTGGGGAGGTGGCTGAGTTACCATTCCTGGAGGTGTTCAGGAAAGGTTTAGGTATTGCAGGGAGGATCATGCTTTAGTGGGTAAATACTGGTGGTAGAAGGACAGCTGGACTTGATGATCTTGGAGGTCTTTACAACCTTGGTGATTCTATGATTCTATGTTACTTACAGTGACTTCATTGACTCATAAGCATTCTCCTTTACTGGCTGCCTTTGACACAGCTTCTCTTGTACAGGGATATCAGGCTCAGCTGTGGGATCAATCTCCGATATTTCACTATTGCACTGTTAGAAACACATAACAACGTTAAGAAATAAATATTCTTGCTCTGTCAACAGAAAAAAAGAATCTCAATTATCTTGTTTTGTTCAGTGCTTGTGCTGTTTAAGACCATTAGTTAGTACAGCTTGGTTTACCTCAAGTAACTCACTTCCCAGAAACTGCAAGCTAGAAATGTGGTTGAAACTTAGAAATTCATGCTGTCTGGTATAATAGGTACTATCTTTTAGGTTGGAATGTGACCTCTTAAAATTTGGTGATTTTAATTTAGGAAAGTCTTCAAATAAGATTATATATATATATATATATGAGATTTATTTCATTTAAAGCACTTAGATCATATGATAAAATTAAGTTGTTAATGCCCTTCAGTTATCTGTACAGGCTTTGGAGAGAGGCAGTGACTTCTGCAGCACCCTGCCTGGCTTAATGAGCTTCTCATGCCCACTGACTGTATGGGAAATCCTGAGAAATGAGCCTCCCAAATTCAGTGCCAGTATTTATTTAAGATTACCAGTATGATTCTTCCTGCTCCCTTCTTTCACACTGAAATGCACACATTAAAATGTTTCCTGGCATTTGAATATTACTGCTTGGCTTTATGCCACTTACCGATGCTACTGATTTAAAGTAGCACTGAAAATGATGTACAGTTAGTATGGTTTTCATGTTTTGGTAAGACAAATGTCGATACAATTGACAAAAGTCATTTACAACAGTCAGTCTGAGGAATTTCAACAAAATCAGCAGTATTTTTTGTCAGAATGCCACTTTTTAGCAGGAAGGCCTTTGAATTCAGCATTTTTTTCTTGTACACATTAAAGCTTTATTACCTATTGCTTTATCTACGTACTTCTGTGGCAAGGTATTAATTGGTTCCTCATACCAGTTCCTCTTTGGGTCTTTGTGTGTGTCTGTCTCCTTGGAGCTGTTAACAAAACAGAACTCACAACTAATAAACTACCTTTGCTAAAAGGCTGCTGGGTGTTTGGTAATAAGGTTCTTCTTCCTTTTCTTCGTTTGAATCTGATGACAGATTTTCCTCAGTCTTACCCAGAGTTTTATCCTGTGAAAAAAATGTTTTTATTTGAACAGGTTCACTTATATGGGTTATTTAACGTGTATTTTGCCATTTCCACAGGAAACACACGCACAAAATTAGGCACTAGTATTAGTATTTCTGCTAGACGGGTTTGTGGTAACTAGGCAGTTGCAATTGACTTCATGTTCAAAACTGTTATTTTGTTTAAAAATCAAGTGGGCTGAATACTACATATATGATTCTGCATGCTTTTATGTACTTGTGGGCAAAACTCTTATTCGTCTTAAAGTTCTTACACTAGAAAAAAATCTATGGGAAATCTGGAAGAGGATTGGGAGATATTTGTCACTTTTAAGCAGTTTTTAAATATTATCAAGTAAAGAATGCATGTGGGACTTCACTGACTAATGGAAAGTTCATTAACTCTCATTTCTAGAACATAGTCCAGGGGGCTGAAGATCTGATACTGAATCCTTTATATCCTGAACGATATTCTCCCAGGTTCATTAATACCTCAATTATTATTAAGTCTGCGGCTATTTGGTAAGTCAAGAAGAAATTAATCTTTCCACAAACCTTTCTAAATACAAATCGCTCATTTTTATGTTTCCCTGTAATGAAGAGTACAGTAATTAGCATTTTGCTGCCTCCCAATGCAATTCTCCATGCCATGTTTGTGATACAACCATTTTTAATCTTTCTACTTACATCCTTGGTTTCCATGGTAATCATTTTAATAATTGCTAAATATGCCACAGAATACATTACTGTTTTCAAGGTAAAGTAAATTAAACTAATTACTCTCTTAGATGTAAAGAGAAGAAACTGACACTGAATAGAAATTAAAGATGATGAATGTATTTTTGTTCTTTGTTGGTGTAAATGACATAAAAAGCAGCCCACGCTGCAGCAGTCAGAACAAACCAACGAATGGTCCTTCAAGAAGTGCATAACCATACTCCTTTGGGAATGAAGACTGGCTCTGTGGTCATGATCTAAAATCATGAAGAAGTTTCCTAGTGATGTTTCGGGGGCTTTGGGTCAATCAAACATGTTAATGCTTGGGGAAAAGGTGAAGGAGGAAGTGATATTAAGACTTGAGATCCTCCAACTCCTATGAAATCTCAGAGTAGACAGCACTCATCAGCTTCCCAAACTGAGCTTTTGATTGCTGACAGTGGCCACTTTTGGCAAATGTGTATACTGTCTCTCCACGTCATCATCACAGACTATGAGAACAATGGAAAAGGTTAAACAGATCACTGCATTTTCTTAAAGAAGTTTGATGGCATCTACGTTCCTCTGAATGTTTTACAACCAGAGAAGTTTCGCTAACTTCAGTCTAAAATTATTCACAGCTGTACAGCTAAATGAGTTCTTTAAGTCTGTGTTGAACCACAGTGTGTATTGGTGTTAGAGAGAAAGTGGGTTATGAGGGAAATTGGCTGTAGCAAAAAATGTGAATGATAGGAAATCATCTGGGTGATTGTCAGTTTTGGATTCCTTGGGGAAAGGACTAGAAGTTAATGCTGCCCTGAATTTCTCCTTCAAAAAGTCATCTCCATCATGTATTGATGCTGGACTCTTGACCAGTTTGTCTGGGTACCTGTTATACAGTGTAATGCAAATTAGAATTCCTTATTTTGATGCATTTTGGATATTAAAAGCCACATGTGCAAATAGCTAATGCTCAGTTGCTGAGTCAGGTGTGGTTTGGTAGCTTGAAAACATGGGTTGAAAGGGAACCAGATTCTCAAAGCGTTCCTGGGTAGCTGTGTTCCTGCCCGTGTCACCAAACTTAGCTGACATCGAGAAGCCTGTCTGCATGAACAATGGCTTCTGACCAGTTTTCAAGATCAGGGCCTGGGTGACGGAACTGCCAATAAAAAGCAAATCTAATCAGATGCTAGAAATAAAGAGTCATACTTCTAACAGGAAGTAAATACAAAGGCTTAATCTGAAAGTCAGCTGTCTGGACATCACTGAGCAGAGAATAGATCTGGGGATGTTAGCGGATGTTAAACTTATGAGTCAAGTGTAATATTTTTATCAAATGCAGAAACATTTTTGCTCCTCGTTAGCTGAATGGCGAGGTTATTTATTATGACACATGCTGAAATAATATAAGCTTCCTGATACTCCCTCTGCTTCAGGCTAAAGAGAACAGGAAAATCCAAATTCCTTATCTTTGAATGCTCCTTGTCAGCCTGTACTACTCTGGCTAGCCACATACAATACGTGCTCTCAGAGTCACTGTGAGTATAAAGGATTAATGAATAAGACAGAAATGACACATATAGGAAAGAAGCAGAAAGAGAGCCTTGGTATGCATCCAAGAACTGTGATAGCTCAAGTCAAACTAAGAGCTAATACAATGCATTTCAGAGCTCAGACTCAAAACTGAGTGATTGCACTTTCACAAATTACAGTGCCTCAGCTGAACTATTATAACGACCCACGGCATTGCAATGTAATTTCAGCTATTTTCACTTCAGTCCACTAAATCAAAGTGTATTATATCATACTTGCTGCCAACCTGTACAAATGAATGGTGATTGCAGCATGTGATTCGCTGTCCTGTTATCTGTGATAGCAGAATAGATCCCTGTATCTCAGCTCCTCCAGATCATAGTCCAATGCATAAGCTGCCAATAAAGATAGGTTTATACTCAACAGCCTAACTGCATACTGGTGTGGTTGTGCTGTCAGTTCTGCTGGCTGCTGTAAAGGCAGTAATCCAGGACAGAGGGTGACTGACAAGCATCTGAAACTGCTGCAGATCTTTTTGTTCAGGGAACATAGGTTAGAATACTTTGTTAATAATCCATGGTAGCACTTGTCCTTCTATCTTTTTAAATAATTCCAGTCAGATATGGAAACTAAATTACTGGAAGCCATATTTATAATGATACAATGTCAGCTTTAAGGTGTACTTCAGTCTGATTTTGTTTTGTAGCTCGATTGCTCTGATTCAACTGCTGCTTGCGGCGGCTGCAGAAGGAAGCCTAGAAGAGTGTGGCACAGCTGAGAAATATGACAGGAGGGACAAATGCTCAAGCAGTGCAGCTTCAGAGTAGCCTTTTATGAAACTTGAGAGAGCTGCCTCAAGGTGCAATCTCTGCTTGGAAACTCTGTGGAACTGCCCCCAAGAAAAAGTAAACAAGGGGTATTTAAAGCACGTTCTTAGAAGGTTATTTTCAGTGCTAAATGAGACAGCTGACTAGCTATGTTTAAGAAACCCATATAAAAAAAAGCAGGTCAGCGTGCTGGAAAACTAGGTGAATAATCTGTAGCTACTGATAGTCAGGTGACATGAGAGCCAGTAGTCACCTCTCCAGACTAAGCAAGTCAAGAGCAGTTTTATTTGTTGTGCTCACCAGTCTTTGAAAAACTCCTTGTGGTGAGTTGCTCTGAGCCTGATGAGGGCCAGGATCTGAATTTGGCCTGTTCTTATCTTCTGAGGCACCATCATCCTGTATACAGAAGAAAAAAGGTATGACTCCTAAAGATACACTGGAGATGCTTTACCTGCATTCAGCTTCCTCCATCAAGGCTATTTGAGCATGACTTTGTGACTACAGAAACCAGATACTCATTCTGACACCAAAGGACTAAGACTTTCTATTTAAGTATTGAGAGAGAATATCTGAAAGGCACAGACTGCAAGAAGTGTGGGCTGCAGTTGGACAGCAATGGGCTGAAATTCCCCACTAGAGTTTAAAGCTCAGAGAGACAAAGAACAACAGCAATTAGCACAGAACAGCAAGGGTGTGGCTAGCAGCTCCTGACACAATCATCACATGTCTTCTCCAAGGTATGTCAGAGCTAATCTGCAGCTACTTTATGCCGACCAACTTTTGCCAGTTATTTAAGATGGACAGTGGATACCAGTGCTTGCTGCTGTCATCACCTGTCTTTACTTACAGACAGACTTACAAACCAACATGCCAGTACTGCTTGGCATGTTACATATTTGTGGGGGCTCTCTGATGATGTTAACATCCTGTTCCTGCTTGGGAACCCCAGTGCAGAGCAGTACAGACCACCTGGGCACTCACTGCATGAGCTCTGAAGAACTTTTGATTGAAACTACCAACTACGTAAATCAAATTTCACAGCCACCCCCGACAGCAAACTCATTATTAAAGATGGGTAATCCATTTACCATCAGGTAGCTTTGCCTTCCCAGGGAATCGATCATATCTGTAGAATTTGAAAACAGTGGCATAGAGAAGGACCGGCTTTTGACTTCTGAATTTGCAAGATCTTGGTTCTAGAGAAAAGATAACAGAAAGGTAAGACAGACACCTGAAGGGCTGGAGCTTGAGCTGGCATGGTCTCCAGCTGGTTTGCAGCACTGACAGACTAGATGTGTATCATTTTGTAAAACAGCATGTAAATAGATCCAAAAAGCACACAGTAAGAATTACACACACATTTTCATCCTGACACATCAAAGGTACAATTCATTATAGCACAGTGTCAATCACTTTCTAATTTCCATGTGTCTTACTCTTCAAAGAGATGCTTTTGGTGTAAGAACAATCCCCATGCAAACAGACTATGGAATGCCTGCTTAATGCTTAATGCCTGGAGTACAGGATTTATATGGAAAATTAATTTCTGATTAACCAAGGCAAGGGACAGGTGACAAGGCCAAAATCAGGACAAGTAAATTCCTTGCTTTTGCATGGCTTTCTAACGAGATTACAAATTTCTTTCCTTCTAAAATCAAGTATAGTAACATGTCACCTGAGGGCAGCATCCACCTCTTTTGGCCTCCCTGATGGAAGATATGGCTGTGACCCAATCCTCTATTTCCAGCCTGTGGGTTAGAACAATAGAAGTTAATACCTATTCCTAGGTAAAACACTGGGAAAACCCATTTGCTCACCTACTTCCTCTCACGAGCCTAAAATAATGCCTCTTGAAACCAACAGGGAAAATCTGCACCATTCCTTCAGGAGATGGATGGAAAAACCTGGCCTCAGAGACATGTAGCCCCAGCCCAGAAGGTACGGCAAGGCTTTTGTAGGGGAGGTGCAATGGTGCTTTCTGCTTCATTCTCTATGTGTAGTGCTGCTCTGCTGACTCTTGAAGATAGGGCTTGGGAATGCAAGCAGGGTGAGAAACTCACAAAAGCATGTGTTCTGTTCTGTGCTTCAAGTGGGTTTCATTGGATTAATTCTACATCACTTCCTATAGAGCCTTGCTGTGAGAGCAGTGCCCTGAGCGAAGGCGTGGAGAGGAACGCTCAAGTGGCACACAGGTATGTGTTTTGCTTCTGTGCTTATCAGCAATTCACACATCAGGTGCTCTTCTGCCCTAGGGCAGAAAAACCCTGCCATGCCTGTAGCTGGAAAAAGTGAAAAGAAGTGGGAAGCTGCAGTGGAGAAGTGCTGTGCCAAATGTCCTGCCTCACTGAGCCAACCACGTAGGCCGCAGCGATTCCTGCCCTGCTGCAGGCTGGATTGCAGTGAGCAGAGCAGCTTGTAGGTATGCCCTGAGCTACTCCTTTTGAGATCGGCCTTCTCTTCCAGCTGGTTCAGCTGTCTGTAACAGCAGGAAATTAACCCAGGCATGGGAAAAGTGCAATAGAAGAGAGCAACTTTCCTTCGGATCATTCAGCTGAGCCACTTTGGCCCAGGTTGCTCAGACACAGGCAGAGGTGGGAGCTGCTGGCCGGAACTGCAAAGGAGTGGGATCATGCCTTGTGGCAGCAGCTTGGAGCTACATTAGCTTATCTTCAATATCACATTGCATTCACACATCTCTCAGCCTACCTGCTCTTCCCAATGAGGTAGTAACATCGGTTTTCAGTAGTGATGGATATCACCTCTTCTGGAAAGCATCTGAACATCTTCCTCACCATCACCATTATTTCAGAATTACTTATGCCAATTTCTACACTTATGATCCTGTTAAGACAACCACATGAAACATTCTTATTCAATTATACATACATGCAAACATACTATTCTTTGCAGGTTGAGAGGTACCCTGCCATCTGTAAGGTGAGAAAGTTTGTGTGTCTACACAGTTACAATGGCATAGTCCGTCCTTACTTTTGTGTAAGTGTGCAAAGCATTATCTTCACAGAAAATATAATCAACTGTAGGAATACAGCCTTTGGGATCATGGAACCAAGCTGTCTGCTTTGCAGGTGCGTCACCGCAATTGCTCAAATGAATGTATAAAATTTCATCAAAATTATTTAGGATTTTAACTCCTTAACAGTGTAAATCATACACTGTAAGTTGTACCTTAGGCCTACAAGATCCTAAGGGACTCTTTCATTGTTTTCAGTAGGATTTGGTCAAGAACCTCAATCAGGAACAAGTGCCTGCACAATTAGTGGTCAGTTAAGATGGGTAATAGAATATTTAAATTAAAAAATGATGTATTTCAGTTACGTACTGATCAACAGCTATGGAGCCTTTCATGCACATTCCTTTTAGGTACTTCAGGACGTAATTGCCCTTGTTGGATTTGGACAGGATGAAATAACGCCTTTTCCAGGAATTCTGCCAAAGAGAAAATCATTTGTCTCTTGTTAAAACCTAGGGTAGCAGAAGTATCTGACATTTGGTGGGAGATTGCTGGAATATGACCGATCTGTGTTCATGTACCTTGGAGTTGATAAGATGATGAGGTGGTGACTTGATGAAGAATCCATGCTTGAAAACTCCACCTTCAGGGCAAAATGGGTTTTGAGCTTCTGCTAATCAAAGAGAAATGAATGGCATCGTTACTCTATTTGTTGCCAATTAATCTTTTAAAAGAAGCTTCTTGAAATGAAAATTGTTGCTAAGCACTTGGTTTCTGAACTTAAATGACCATAAAGCACATTCAATTAGAGAAGAGAAACACAAATCAAAGCTATAAAGTACAAGACCAGGCCCTGCTTCCTTGATGCCACTGTTACTGCTGACAAATGGCCAAAGCTGTCGGCAAATGATAGAGGTAATATACTGTGTTGAGGGAGGTGGCTCAGAAGATATCATGAAGCTCTGTCTTATTTAAAGTTCTTATTTAACTTCTGGGGTCTGGTCTTACTTAGCTTCCTTGTTAGTGAACTGAAAGGCAGTGAATGGCACCCTAATGAAATCTGTAGATGGCATTCAATATGGAAAGGCAAACACCTCAAAAGATCATCTTACACTGCAGATCATGATGCAGCAACTGGAAGAAGTCTTACAGGGAAAATAGAAGCTAAAAGCATAGGGTTAAAAATATGTGAATGTATTTGTTTGTGACCCTATGTACCCTGTGCACAGCTGTAGTGTAACGTTCATGTTTTCTAACCACTGGTGGAGTTCTGATCAACAGCTCAGTTTACTAACACCCAGTGAAAGGAGTGCCAATCTCATTCCATTTTTTAATCCATAAGCCCGATACGAGATGTTAACACTTTTAAAGAATCCAGTGACTGAAGAAAGGGCAGTCAACCTTCAACAGCCTAGTGCAAATTCTGGGAAATATGGTAATACATCAACATCCAACTTTGTGGAGAGAAACACTTGGTTCTGAGATCCCATTTACTGCTGACTTCAGTGGAGGTAAGACTTTATTGTTAGTATCATAGAGCTACTGACATATCTTCCAGTTCCCAGTTAATTTTTAAGGGTTTTAATGTTTTTAGAAATTTCAGTCCAATCTGTTTCAGGTGCAAGAAAGATTCTGTTGTAACGGGAAAGGCTGCATTTAGGACAGATTCTTTAAGGGAGGGAGTGGAGGAGTAGAATTATCACAATACACTGTTTTTGCTATTTAAAACAAACTACTTGGCAGCTGGAGGCAAGTGAGAATAGTATCAAATATTGAAAAGAATGTTTTGCAATCTGATTCAATCTTACTGCTAACAAATCTTAGTAAATGAAATTTTGTACCTTCCGAGTTTTTTCTAGTTTTTGAAGCCATCCTGATTATTTTTCTACTGAGACAGGGAAGTAAAAACCTTGAAGCTAATTCCTTTCAGTCTTTCTTGCTGAGCAACATTTCACTGCACGCGTGGTTGCCTGAGAAAATAACAAATATCTCAGAAATGTTTGTTTTCATAGTGATGGTTAAACTATAGGAAATTAAACATAGAAAAAATCCCTAAGAAACTACAGATACAACTATAGTTGTTATTCACTTAAATATATCGCTATCTATAATAAAATAATATAAGATTATATGTTATATGCGATAGTGTTGTATTTTATTCTTAAATCATAAATATAAAACGATGCACTACAAAATTTATTAACTTACATGATTCAGAGGGATGATTTGCTCAGGGTGTGAAGAGACCTGCCAACAGAACTGCATTTTGCCCCTTCCTTTGCAGTAGCCTCCCCAGCTGTACCCTAGGAACATTGCATCGCACCTGTTTCTGATACTGCCTTGGCAGTGAGATAAGCTCTGTGTGCCCTGAAAGTGCAAGAACACAGTGGTGTGCATCTTTCAGAAGGTAAAAAAGTGGCTTTAGTTACTTTGACGTGATTCAGACTGTGGGCTTTCAGGCAATACCCTGCTGTACACGAGAACAACCGTTGCTGGAGAACTCTGTAGAGCATTTCTGCTTACGCTTTTTTTCAGGGAAATTAGATTAGTACAGTCTTGCTTCTTTTGGAGAACTCTTTGTACAACTCTTTGGTTGGTTGCACAATAGCTGAGACAGACTGTTACAAAATTTAATGCCTAGGTTTTTCATCTATTGCTTACCAAAAAAAAGGACAAAAATTATTTCCAAAACTGAAAACTAGCTGCACAAAAAATCAAATGCTTAATGTCAGTAATAGGGGGACACATCTGGGGTTGCAGTGAAAGCCAAAGTAATATTCCTCCCAGTGTGACTGACAAAGTCACTCTGACTGTAAGTGATACACCTCTCAAAGCAGCTTTCCAACAGCTTGTAACAGGATAAAAGTCTCATCTAGGTCTCAGTAAAAGTCAAGATTTCCAGGTGGAAAGATGAGATTACAGCAAGCTTTTATCACTGCTGCCTCACTCCATTTTGGAAAAGAAGTTTTATGTGTTGTGTTTAATCAGTTTTTCACTTCAATGGAAGCAACCTATTAAGCACGTTATGTTTAATTCAGAACAAACAGTGCCAATTCTGTGATTATACCCCATCAGATTTTTGTATACCTGACATTCAGAGATTTGATAATTTCAACCTTTTGGAAAAGCAACAAGGCACTTCAGTCAAAATGCAAATAAAGTGCTGCAAATGAGTAAGAAGTGCACTATTATAAACCTTCAAAAATATAATGCCAAGATCAGGAAAACAAAGTGTGTTAATACTTACAGGTGAATGTCTTTCTAGCGTAGAAGGTCTTAGAGAAATGCACCATCAAACATTTCCAGATTTCCTGTATTGTTTTCTGCAGCAAAAGACGATGTGTCCTCACCCTGCACTGTGACTGCTGACTTAAAGCTGTTGTATGAACACAAACACCCTGAAATATGACCCACAAGGAAATTCCAGGTTCTGCCTGGAGAAGCAAATTAAAGACTGTTATGAAAGGGGAAACCCAGATTAGTATTCACTTACAAACAATTAAAAAAATACCTGTTTGTGGCAGCCATGAATGTCTCCCAGGAGGAAAAAAGTCTGGAGATACTTTTTATTTTTTTAAACTGGTTTCTAAATAGTCCCTTTCTTTTCCCTGGAGCTGTGCCTGGGAGATCACATTCACTCGTGACTGGGAGAGAAAGTAACATTAAGAACCATAAAATGATCATGCAGTGCCATAAAATGTTACCAAGTTTAGATTACTAAATAAAAAAAAACACAAGGTGGAATGGGTTTTCCTACCCTACCTATGTCTTAACTGTACTTTTATTGCAGGGTCAATGTCTGTCCTGGTTATAGGTGACTTTCTGCATTCTCTTCAGAGACATCCAGCATATCATTAATGATCATGATTTTCAACTGTTCAGCTATTCCTGCTAATAACAGAAATGCTTTTAGACAAAAGAGATTTTTAAATTTGAATGGGAAATAAACTCAAATGCCCTGCAGCTTATAAGTCACAATTCAGTCATCTGGCATTGCTCAAGTCACAAGGTCAGGCTTCCTTACTCTGAACGTGTTCCTGCAGGCTAAATAATATTAATGCTTCTTGGACACGATCTAAAGTAATGCTCTATATAGCAGAGACGTGGGCCCCTACACAAGAGAATTATGTTTTTCTCTCAAAGTTATCTTTCCAAGTTGCTTTCCTTTCTGGCAGCATCTTCATGTATTTTATGCCTGATCTTTGTATACTTCATATACTGGACAAGCCTGGAGGTTGCTTAATATTCAGGCTTATATTTCTTCCCTTCTCTGTAAATCAGCATATAGAATTGCTGTGCTCCTTTGTTCTATGTTATCATATTTTTTTTCCAGGAAACCTTTGGTCTACCAGGAGAGATCTCTTAAAACCTGATAATACCTATTTGCTTGACGCATTAGAGAGCTTTAGAGCTTCAGATAACATTAGTGTTTTGTCTTCTTTCTTAGAGAGACAGACTCTGCTTCACCTGTTAGTTGGAAATTCCCATGTTGTCCTTTTTTTCTGTCCATATGAGTAAATGTACAAGATCTGGTAGATACCCACTCTGTCTACCCTTTTTTTAAGACAACATGTCAAATGGGGCAAGAAGCTTTTCCTACTGCTAGTGTAAACTAACGAATGCTAATTGCTTTTATTCCTCATCACCATTCACAGGGAACCTCACCAGCCACAAGCTGAATCAGGGGCTACTTGTGAGGCAGCTAAGAGTGGTGAGATGCACACGAACCCTGGCAACGGGAGAGAGGTATGTAATGATCCATCTTAATTACAAGCAATTTTGAATGACACTGATGGCCTTTTGCTTCACTTGACAGAAGTGGGTAAAGTCTACATTTTTGCAGTGCTTCTAAGCAAAGATAGATTGACAATAGCTTTTTAAATAATTAAAGATTGTTCTCAAACAACCTTTACGAATAAAGAACTGCACAAGAAGAAGCCTGCTCCTTAGCTGTTATACTGTTACATTTCTTGGTATTATTTTATAAACCTGAAATGCTCTGTTTCAGAACCCCTACTTGCTCCCTTATTGTTCCCAAGGCTTCGTGGCTTCAGAACCACAACGTACCTGAATGAAAGGGTGGTTTTGGTGTCAGGGTAACTTTGTTAGCAGAACTAGCTTAGTAAAAATCTACCAATGAACTGCAGTGAAGTGTAAGAGCTGAATACTAAAATGTTGAATTGATACATTTCTGACGGTAAAACATTTCTGGTATTTCTCCAGTGCTAGAAAACAGTTTAAGATAGAGCTGTTTGCAGGAACTAATATGAACTGCTAGAGCACCATACAGTGTAATGTATACAAACACTTTATGCACTGGGCAAGTTTAAGGGCTGGCAAATCAGGAGATTTCCATTGAAATCTTTTCAATAATTCTGGTTTACTCTATGAAAGGATCTGGCCTACTTAACCCAAACAATCAAATGCCAGCTTATACTTCCAAACTACTCTCCAACTGACACAGGAAACCTCATCTTGATAAAGATGCAGAAGACCAACATTCAAGACTTGAGAAAAGTTTTGGGATGTATTTTGGTTGGTTTTCACTTCACCAGATCAAATGACGAACAGGCAGGTGTTCATAGGAAATTAAAAAAACAGGTCTTTATTGATATTATGCTCAAGACTTCCACAAAACAATAATTTATTTAATTCAAACAATTGTAAATTTGACTTATGAAAAAGATATGCCTCGCTATGCTACATTTCCTGTAAGAAAATATACTTAATAAAGAGAGAACTTGGCAAACAGCTGTTTTCTTAGATTTTAAAAAAATAAAGAGTACATTAACTAGGAAAGGGGCGAATAACCTATCATTTATCAGTCTAATCAAAACATTAAAATTACTTTTTTCAGCTAGGTATCATATTTAAAAAGAATATAAAAAGTAGAAATATAAGCATCATTGACATAACTCCAAAATACAAAATCAAGACAATATATTCACTAAAAAGGCACTTCTGGTTTCTGATTCAAGTAAGTATTTCTGGTCTTGGTGAAATTCCTCACAGATAGAAGTTAAATCTAAACGTGCGTTTCTTACTGGAATACATAATTCTGTTGTTTCAACATTAAATTTTAATGTTTTATAGCAAAGTCAAGGCATTAATTTTTTCTGGGTTCAAAACTTATGAATCAACATGCAGACGTTCTTATTTCTGCAAGCAGAGAAACTGCACGACTATTGTGTCAGGCTGTTCTCTCAGATAATTGTCATTTACAAGGCAAAAATCTCCATAATGGTATTTTATTAAGGTATTATCTAATTAGTTTGCCCACTTTTAGAAAAACCAAAATGAAAATCTTTCTATTTGATACATTTCCATACCATTCAGCTGAATCATCTGCAAATAAAATTAACCTTATGCTAGGAATGATAACTAAATTGACATCCATATTAAGCACAGTGCATCCATTACTCTTCATTAAGAGTGTTCTAAAATGGAAATAAATTTATTAGACTAAGAAGCACCCCTTTGAATAGCTACAAAGTCAGTTTCATCTCTGGACATATTTATTGTATGATGGTCTTTGGAAATTTCCAAGGAAGTTACAATTCCATGAGATTGCAGTGAAAGAAAAGATGGATTTCCACTGATATGTTTTTTTTTACAGATTTTACAATCTGTTCTTTGGAGTAAACTTTATGGGTCAGGTAACTGACTCTCAGAACATCTTCAGCACCCCTAAATCAAGACAGCTACACTAAGAGAAATCAAAATTATTTGTAATAGAATCATGGAGTCTATGATTCAATGATTCTAGTACAAATAAGAAATTAACTACAGGATTGATTCACAGCATTTAGGTGGTCTTTAAAATATTGCATATTGTCCATTTGTCAGATACCCAGCTTATACAATATGTAAAT